GATGCAGAGTAACTGGAGGACAGAGACCCACTCAACTACACACAACTCAAATCCCCACCCCTGGAGGTGTGATGTGACAGCGATTCCCACTGTGCTCTCTTGCAAACCTTTTATGACCAGTAATAAAGTAGGACATGCATATTACTCCTTCTGAAGAACCAACAGAACACATCTCTTCCAGGAAAGCATTTTCACCTGAGCGAGAATGACAGAGCAGATACAAAGAGTTGGTAAAAAGCTGACACCTTGAATTTACCGAAACAGCCAACTCTAGTCCTGGGGGGCCGGAGCCCTGTGTAGCTTAGTTCTTTCCCTGTTCCACCACAAATCATTCAGCTCAAGAGCTGTGTGGTAAGTAGCACAAGGAGTTGAATCAGGTGTGTTAAATGAGGGTGAACCAAAAACTGTGTAAGGCTCCGGCCCCCCAGGACTGGAGTTTGAGACCCCTGGCCTAGACTGAATTTATTAGTTGGTTAAAACTTGAAGAAACAATTCAGGCACTGATTCGGACTAGGGTACTGCTAAATGATGATGCTGCCAATGTATGAGTTATATAAATCTTAACTGTGGTAAAAAAGGAGGCAGGAAACATCAGTTAGCATTGTCATTTTGCCTATTGAGTTCTTGACATTTCCTTTGGTTTATGAGCCTTAATCACATTTCCTGTAATACTTCAACCGGCCACTAAACACAATGGAAAACTTTCTAAATGTTCAAAAGCTGTTTAAAGCCCACAAACCCACAGTGCTTAAGTACTCAGATCCGAATCTCCTGTGCAGCTACTGCCTTCACCTCTGCTAATATACTTACACACCGAGTAGCCCCAAGTATTATTTTCAGAAAAACAATGGCCTAAAAGGTTTTAGGAGAGATGTCGGTGCACGAAGAGGCCAGACCACATCTGCATTAAAATCAAGAGGCAGACCCATTTACATAACCTCGAAAAAGCTTCTAATTTGTTTTTGAAACATAAAGCTACGCGAGGCCCAGCCAAGTAATTTACCTACTGCCAGGCTGCAAAAGTATGATTTACTGCCTTTTATCCACAGGCCAGGCAGAATCCCCCGGAGTGCTCCGCTCCGTCCCCATTTTCCTTGTTAAATCCAGTCATGACGTTGTTTACACTTCGTCTCCCCTCGTCCCGAGAGCCTCCGCATGCGGGCCATGCTGGGGGCGGCTCTGAGCCGGAGGTGCGGGCGGACAGCTTGCCGAAACCAGCCGGTGCAAAACTGACCGGTGGTTGTTTCTCAGGACTTTCCCACCTCATCCCCATTAGCTGGGCTGCTAGGGAACAGGTCAGGGCAACTAACAGCTGGTGTGTGTGTGTGGTGGGGGGGGTCCATCTTTCTGCAACACGTGCAGCACTACAGCCACAACAGGCGAAGGAAGACTGATGGCACTCCTGCCGAGAACCTGCTCCTTCACTGCTCTCAGCGTCAGGACCGGGGCCTGAGCAAGGACAGAGCCTTGAAAACGCAGTATAGGGCCGCAGCTGCTGTAGACTGACCCACTCACCGAAGTGCTAATGGCGACCCTCCATTCACCTTGCTGCGAAAACGGCAGCATCGATAAACAAGTTGGGGTCAGAGTCTGTTTGTGGATGGAGAGCAGGAAGCAGAACCGACTGGCCCACATTGTCCCACCTAATTACCAGGCAATACGAACCACTTAAAGAAACAGTGATGTTGGGGTAGGCTGTGCAGCGGCGGGTTGCTGAAGCCTTGCGGCAGGTGCACCCCTGCTAACAAAGCCACAGACCCAGATGGCAATCGACATACAAGCACTTAAGGAAACAAGGGGCCATATTTATAGGCTTCTGGCACCGAGTCCGGACCAATCAGTGCAGGCAAAGGGGGAAACAGGCACTGCCTATTGGCTGAGTGATACATGTGACCTCCAGTCACAGGGCCTCGTCTGGCAAAGGCAACTAAGCAATCGACGGAGGACGGTGAATCGAATATCCATCGGTACTGAACTGCGGATTCTGTGAAAGGTGTAATTTCTATGTGTGCACTGTTTACCCTACCACTATATTAATTAAACAAACTAAATATCCTTATCTAATTTATCTTATTTACACAACAGCTTGTCATTTCTGTCTCTACACGGTCGCGCGTTTACAGTCCTCCCCTGCTCTCTGTATCGCGCATGGCGGAGCTCCGCCCTGATGCGTGTGCACAGACACGTGCGCGCACACACAAGTGAGCACACTCTCACCAGCGGGCAGAGAGCGTGCGTCGGAAAGTATAAGATATCTGCGTTTTTTTAAAGCCCAGAAAGATGCACTGCAGTGACAAAAGCTGCACACTTTGTGGATAATTGTCATAAAAAGAAATGTCCTGATGTTTAGTTCAGTTGTTATATTGACTGCTGTCATTAAAAGAAACACATGAACACCATGAATCCTGTCGGTGTCTGTCTGCCCCCCCCCCCCCCAAAGCTGTAAACCTTTTACTTTTATATAACATGCTTCCCAGCATAGGTGCCTCAGAGTGCTTTCGATATACAGAACTGTGCAAAAGTCTGAAGAAAACGACGTTTAAATGATCTTTATGTTGATGTAAAACTACGATAGGCCTATAATGCCTGCCAAAGTATGTCAGCTTAGCTACTTCAGAGCCTCTGCTATTATCACCCCAGTGCAGGAACCGTGTAATACACGCATCACAGATCACACAGTATCACAGCAAGTAAAAAACAAAACAAAACAAAACAAAACAAAACAAAACAAAAAACAGAAGTCTTTAGTCCAGCCATCTGTTATCCTTCACTGCCAATGAACCTCAGAAGACGTTTCACCTTAATTAGCAGAGGTCGCTCTGGTACCTCATGTAGCTTTCGTTTATTTGCTTGCACTTTCATGCCCGAGTGCCTGAAGAACAACACACACACGTATTTTCGGACTCCCTATCAATCAATATCTCGCTGACCATTTTAACTAATAAAATTAAAGCCTGTGGTAATTTTAATAAACATATGAAATGGCCCTGAGGTTTGGGAACCGAAGCGGTGTTCATCTAGCCGTCCTGCAAGATATCTGTAACTTTTTGGGGAACAGTAGAAATACTAGTTTTTATTATGTTACTCTTAATTTGCATGTGTTTTAATGCTAAATTCTGTCTGTTGTTCTGAGCAAAAGTGCACTTAATGCCCAGATAAACAGCTTTAAACATTTCTTTTGACTGCCGAAGACTTTTTGTATAGTACTGCATGTATGTAAAGAGACACAGGACACAGTGTAAGCCGAGAAGCCAGGAGACACCAGACGACCAGCAGGTGAAGAAAATCTCTGGAGGGTCAAGTTCAGCTCCCAACTTCCAGCTCCTCCTGGACATCCTCACCACATACGTTTCTTTGGATTTTCAGATATCAGCAGGTAAATGGATAATGTGCCCGAGTGGGGGGGGGGCTACAGTATCTATGGGTTTTTCGGTTACCTTTTGCCACTGATACACCCATGTAGCCCCAGCTAGGCTTCAATCCAATCCTAAGATCAGCTCCTCCATGGAAACTGAGCCCTGCCAGAGTGAGAAGCAGCACTCTCTGTGAAACCCTCACATTTCCCATCACTGCCGTAGGACTTAAGCAAACGTCACTCGATCTCCAGCCTGCTCTAAACCGAGGAACACGAAAAATTTAAAAAATGAGATTCTTTTTAAGTTATCTTAGGTATATTGACATATAAATGTACTGCAGTGCTTGACCGTTTGTATCAAAAAAGGTTTTCTTGTTTCTGATCAAAACCTGGCCTCATGTCCATGAATCAGAATTCAGTTCCTTAGATTCAGCTTCCACCTCAGATGCCATCAGATGTTAGTACTGGAATGCCCTGCGTGTCCTCTGGCCGAGTGACTCTGAGCCCTGGGCTCCTGTGATCTTCTGATAAGGATGGGGAAGGGGGTCAGTTTGAAAAGTTTACAGCCCCGCCGTGATGGATGGCGCGTCGGCCGTGGTGGCAATGGGCCGTTGGGCACGACGGGGGCCGATTCATCAACCCGAAGGCCGCTGCGGGGCCCTCACAGCGGTCACACGGGAGTCTGTCCAAAGGCACGCCCGGGCCGTGGCATCGGAAGGTAGTCTGATATTTCCCTTGGTATGTCAAAATAACCCTACACTGTTTTTCTAACCACAGGGCAGAGAATCAAATCACATGTCCTGACCCTCCTCCCCAATCCCAATGAAAGCTGGTCCAAGTATTAAATCAGCCCTTACCCACCAAACCTTACGGTGGAGATGGGGGCAGAGGTGTCACGCCGTGGTTTCCCAGAATCCCCAGGGAGTAGGGAATTTCTCCTCTCCACCAATACAGATAACATCACCTGGCTGGTCCGAGCATCCATGTCAACACTTGCTCTTGCTATAAAAGGCATTTATTTGTACTCTCCGCATCTCTTGATTCCATACACGCTGTACTGCTCTGTGCAGAGGGGCTCGACACACTTCATCTGCCTCTAAGACTAACAAAATTCAGCCATTACTATACACTCACTGTCAAGCACTAAAATACTCACAACACGCAGGCAGGCACAAACACACAAACAATAATGCACAAATATGACTAGTGTCTTTCTGAGCTTGGTTTATAATTTACCAGTCACTGTAGAGTCCATACATCCTTCATGACACCTAGAAAAATCCTTTTAACAGTGTTTTTTTTCCCCAAGTTTGGAGAACAAGAGAAGCAACCAGAAAAAATTAGACTAAGATGTGAGCCAAAACTCTTTTTTAGTTTTCTGCTGATGATAGGCGTCTCTGACAGTGCTGATCTCTCCCAAAACCCTCTCTTAAGTTTCTTTCTGATAAGAGGCATCCCCAACAGTGCTGATCTTTCCTGAAATCAGCACAACACAGGTGCTAAATAAACAAAGCACACCACTACCCAACCCAGAAGCAAAGGCCCACTGCATTCTTCATCTTGTCACAGCATGATTCTCTTGAAACCCAAGGCTGTGACACCCCAAGGCCCAGTGAGGAAGGGAGCCTGAGTGGAGTGACCCTACCGTCTTTCCTGTAGAGGGCGATCTCCACCTTCCGCTCCTCTGAGCCAAGCAGCGCCTGGGCCATCTGTGCGACGGCCAGCCGCTTGGTGTGTGGGCCGTACAGGAAGTCGCAGGTGCACGGCTTCTGCATGACCTCCGAGCGCGTGTAGCCGCACAGGGCACAGAAACCATCGCTGCAGAAGATGATGGCGCAGTTTTCCACACGCGCATTGGCGATGATGAACTTGCGACCTGCACAGAAAGCCATAATTATCTTGCTGTTTATGGAAAAGTTCTGCAGTCATGTTGTCTCTAGCTATATCAAGTTATGCCATGCAAAGAGAAGAATTAGACAAGATATAAAACTAAATATTAACAACCTCCCACACAACATTGACGAAGATCAGCAGTTACAATATGGATCTATGGATGGATAGATGGATGGATGGATGGATGGATGGATGGATAGATTGATATTAACAACCTCTAGCATTACAGATAGGGTGACCCTTGCCCTGTGACCCGTCTATCCCGGAAAAGCTTCAAGCTCACCCCAACTGTACTAAATAATTGTAAAATGGATGGATGGATGCTAACAACCTAGTCATCTTGAAAGTAAGAGATCACAGAGTACCACAGAAAGTTAAAAAAAAAAAACAGAAGTCATTAGTCCAGCCATCTGTTATCCTTCACTGCCAATGAACCTCAGAAGACGTTTCACCTTAATTAGCAGAGGTCGCTCTGGTACCTCATGTAGCTTTCGTTTATTTGCTTGCACATTCATGCCCGAGCGCCTGAAGAACAGAGCCGTCAGCCTCCACTTACACAGCATCCCATTACTGCATGGCTGGACACTCCAAGCAGAACCTCAGCTTGGCCTTGAATGCGACGCCGTACTCCTCTCTGGCAGCTGAATGCGGAACGTGTCCCCCTCCCCAAGCCGGCACGTACACTCACTCCCTTCAAGGCTCACTTTGCATGGTGGGGAAGATTCACAATGACTGTCTGCTTCTAACCAAAAACAGGATGTATTCTCTCAATAATGGACACTATGTTTCTTTAAAATATTGGGGGAGGGGACAGTAGATAGTACTGTTGCTTCACACCTCCAGGGCTGAGGGCTCAATACTTGTCTCTGCTCTGTGTGTGGTGTTTGCATAATGCCCCCCATCATGTGCAAGTTTCCTCCAGGTACTCTACTCATACCCCCACCCCAGTACAAAAATATGTAAATGGCCCATAGTGTAAATGGCCCATAGTGTAAATTGCCCATAGTGTGAATAGGTTTGTTCCTTGCAATGGACCAGCATCCCGTTCAGGGTACACCCCTGTCCTGCCTGGGATAGGCTACACAGCCTACAAGCCAATCCAGTATATCTGCAATATGGGTGGATGAATATTTTGCAGAGAAAACAAACGTCCCGAATAATCATACCAGGCTCAGGCAAAAAAAAAAAATCTGGCTGGCTGAAGCAGTGTTCAGTGTTCAGAGCAACTCGGTTAAATCGCGACGTCACTCAGTGCCTCAGGTACCCGCCTCACACCTTCCAACACGGAGCTCCACACATTTTGATATTCTTTCTTTCCCATATTTGGTGTCTTAATAGGGCCACATTGGAATAAAATCCCCCCCCCCCCGTCCAAGGATTAGACTGCCAAAGGAAAGAGTCTCAGCAGCGAGATGCTTTTTCAATTTGCTCACATAATTGTACACGGGTCCTTGCAATGCCTGAAACTTCACGGACGTAAGAATTTGACCTAAAAAAGGCATCCCCTCCTCAGCATGTGATGTTTTTGCCACCCCCCCCCCCCCCCACACACACACACACACACATACACACCCGAAAAACTGCTCTGGGAGCCACAGATCTCTGTTTGCATTGTCACGAAACAGCGGTTTATTTAAACGTCGGGTAATAAGCTAGTAAATTAAGATGCCTTTTCAGAGCTGGCAGCAAGAGGGAGTCATACGGCCCTTTCAAAGCGCTCCACTTCTGTTAAATCAGCTGCCTGCTGAAGGCCAGAGTCGGAGACGACGTCTTATTTTAGCATTGGCTGTCAAGTAAATCATTTAGAAGATTATTCTGTTATTATAGATAACCATGTGCTCCTGCGCCTAAGGACGTGTTTGAGGTCATGGGGAGTTTCACACTCCCTGCTGGAGTCAATTAAGAGCGGACAAGCAGTCCATGGATTTGTCAGCAATTCCAGAGCCCCCACTCTCTAGGCGGTGGGCAGAGGCAGGCCGCGCAGGCGTAGGGTGGCTGTGCAGAGTGTCTCGGCATCAATCGGCCATCCTTGCCCCTTAAACCCCCCACCCATCCGTAAAGCCCAGCGAGCAGGCCCTGTTGCCTGTGACAACAGCAGCCCCCCCCAGGGAATCTGATGCAGCAGCTGCTGAAGACCGGAGAACAAAGAACCACCAAACGTGATGCTGCAAACGCGCGTGTGCAGACGCAATCATAGGCACACAAGCGGCACAAATCGTCATTCACCAAAATGAGTCTAATGCAGGGCACAACATAAGGTTCAGGATGTACTACTAACCCCAGGGCAGCACTGTCAATCAGCAGCGATATCAACATATCCCACAACTGCTACCTTCATAATTTATATCTCTACAGCATTGCTACAGTCAGTTATGCAGTTTAAACATAAAGCAATGCATATTACAGTTGGAAACAGTGAGTTGTTACCGTCTTGGATTTGCTGTTCAATAACGAATGGAAAGAATTAATTAAAAATGTCAAAGATTTCAACTTTGCATCACCAACAGAGTTATGACTGTCGAAGTGTGTGATTCAAGGGGTTAGGTCTCTGAGTTGGTGATCAGAACGTTCAAATCCTATAGGGTGAGCAGAGTGATTTCACTGTCACTACCTTAAGTAAGGCTTGCAACCCCAATTACTCCAGGGACTGGCTGACAATTCTGAATTGTATGTCACTTTGGATAAAGGTGTATGCTGTATAAGTTCTCATGGTTATGTGCAGTTGTTTCCCTTCACGCACTTCCTGGATCCTGTGAAAGTTATGGGGTGCCCCTACAGATAGAGAAATGCATGGGTTTGGAAGAGAAGGTTACTAGAAGGCCAAAACAACACCACCTAAGCCCACCCAAGACAATCCAGGCTGTACCCCAGTGTTGTGTTGGATGGGTTCCAGGCCCCCCCATAATCCTCCTCAGGATAAGCAATTCTACGATAAATCAATGGAAAATGAGAAGCAGCTCCCGCAAAGTCTAAAATAAACTACTGAAGAAATTGAACAAAAATGAGATGATTACGGTTCACATTACACAGAAATAAATATTTAATGTGGACCACTAGGAAGAGCTTCCAAAAAAGCGAGGGCATATTTCGACCTTTCCCGGTTGGAAAACCCTTAGGTGCGTTCTGCTCTCAGCCTGTTGAGGAGGACAGTGACAGAATGTCGGCACAAGTCGCCTTATCTGCCAGTTCGTAATGAGACTCCAGAGCGAGTTTTATATGGAGACAAAGAGCAGATTAAAAGAGGAGCCTCAATAACGGGCAATCACTGGACAGCCACTTCACCAACCCACTGTTCTTCCATCCCACAGAGGGCATCTCCCTGGCATCCAGCAGCTATCGGCTGACACCTCAGAGCCCTCAGACCTCCTGCATGTGCCGGCCACACACGCCATAGCACACGGGTGCCCCCGTCCATGTAAGGCATGGCGCGGATGATCCCGTGTGGGACCAGAGGTCGACAGGGACGGTTTCCCATTCAGCCCCTACCAGCCAGCTGATAACAGGAACCCCGGCAATTTCACGGTAATCAGAAGTGAAATTCAAACCAAAAGCCTTCTCTGAAACTTAAGCCGCCGGTTCACTTTGAAGCAGACGCTATCTTGCCGACAAGCGGCGTCCCGTTTTGTACCCGCCGACCCATCAAGCCCCTAAAACTCCGAAACGCAGAGAAGGAGCTGAAACCTAAGTTGGTTCTGTCTGGCCAGATAATCACACCACACACAGTCTCAACAAAAAGCCTCATAGACCCCTATGTAGAATCTCCATGTTCTAATGCGATTCAATGACCAAAACATTCTACAGTATTGTTACATTACATTACATTCCTTCTCACAAAACACAGGAGAAATGCACGCAGATAAAAATTGGAAAATTGGAAAATTAAAAAAGTATTAAATATTTTCCATTTACTATCCCAACAAAGCAAACAATCCAGTACATTAAACAAGTCGTTTTTATCTCTGGACTGAAATTTTCATCTGCTCTATGAAACAAAGTGTATCTCATCAAACAAACTACACATTCGGTGATAGCCAACAGAGGACTGTCCAGTGCCTACACAGGACTGTCCAGTGCCTACACAGGACTGTCCAGTGCCTGAAGGAGAATAATATTCAAAATGAAAAACAAAATCAAAACACCAGGGAATGGGGCCACAGATGCCATGTAATTTTCTCTAATAACAATACATTTGTATGCATAACATACAGGTGAACTATAATACATTTTCTGAACAAAACTTGAAAGATTTTTGAGATCTCAGATGTCATTATGATGAAACAGATACTGTGATCAGTCTTGCAGAATTCCTGACCTCAAGGTGACCTATCTTGGCTTGTCTTTCTATGAATTTCGGTATTTTTTACAGTCCTTAACACACTGTGTTACTATTAATTGGTTCATTAGCAAAAGGCTTTTTAATGTGTTTTATCTTAATACTCTCTTCTGGGTTTTGGACACCAGAAAAGTGCATGTTGACCAAGTAAATACCAGGAATCACTCTTAGACCTCACAGACCCGCTTAGCTGCGGAGCATGTTTGTTTACGAGGCCCCTGGGTGACTCTCGAGAAGAAGTGGCCAGGGCAGCTCGCGGCTGAGATGGTCCATTGGCCTGCCGCATCTCTCTGGGATCCACCGCCTACTCCTAAACAGAAGCAACACGGTGTGACTCCTCCACCCAGCTGTGCTCTCTCCACTACACTGGTGGGGTGGATTACACGGCGACGTGAGCTCTGTCGGGTAGCACGGTGAGAAGGGACGGTCGGTGGAAGGTCACCATGGGCACAGGGTCAGGGCCTTGTGGCCCTAGGAGGTCTTTTTTTAACCCGCAGTGGCCCCAGCATATTTGGACAGCAGGTCTCGGCGTGTCACTCTCCGGACAGCTGGTGGCGACCCCGACAGCAATGAGCGTGGGATGAGCATTACTGGTTAGAGCAGCTCTGCTGCCAGGTGCAGTGACTGGGTTATAATGGCCTGCCACTGGATACAGAATCTCTACAGAATCACTATTCTATCCTCAGTCACTGCTCAGCAACATGCTTGCTGAGAAACAGCCAACTACATATAAAGTTTGCCCTCCCCCCCCCGCCCCCCTCCTGCCCCCACCAGCAAATTCCTGTAGCAAGTCATATCAGCAAAAACTCTGTGGCTGAACTCCCCAGAGCCAGCAGGACACATTCAAGGAGCAGAGGACAGCTATCCCCTAATGCCGGACAGCATCTTTGATATGGATGGAGGGGACTGAGTCAGCCGTCTCCACGGGCGATCCCCGGGAAACAGAGCTATCAGCTGCCCGGGTTGCCGGGGCGATGGTGTGTTTTGCACACATGAGGGTAGCGCTTAATATCCTTCCCCGCCCCTATCATCATATGTGTTTTATTGCATGGTGCCTGTTGGGAAAGCAAAAACAAATATCAGTTATCAGGACGTTCGAAGGGGTTTCCAGGTAGTTTGTCTCATTACTGCCTGTGAAGTAATGAATATGGAACATTTACGCAGGGACAAGGCAATTGTTCTTCATTTGTCAAACACTTTCCGATTGTCTAGAGAGCAATCAAACAACAGCAGCCAGCTCCAAACCCACTTTAACTCTTTATAGACTTCACTACCTCTCTCGAGACCTTGTTACCATAGAACTTAAATTCTGGGGAAAATATTTAATACTGAAAATATGATTTAATTAGCAAAATACTATATTTAACAATTACAATATTTTGGACATACCTGTGATAAGTTCTGTTGCCTAAACTACAGATGGATCATTCACACACTGAAAAAGATTATTGATCTTAAGTTTATGAGATTTTCTCATAACACTACATTGCAATAAAATATCTAAATATCTCTGTTTAAGAAGAATACATTTTCGAACATGTGGGCCTGATTTCAATCCATGCTTCACATATCCATTATCAGAGCTGTAGAAAGTACCAAGGAAATGCTAATTAATAAAGACGCTTTGCCAATCTTCAGTATTTTTCACTGGTTCCAGTTCAGCAGTTTCCACGCAATTTGTCTACCAGAGAAGGTACCCACACACCTTCAACCCACAGGCAAATGTGCACAGAAACCTAAAAACCACAGAAACTATATTGCAGCGCATCCACTAGGCGCTGTGACAGGTGTGAGCCCTATGGGAACTGCACAGAGGCCCAGAAATGAGGATGGGGATACAGCAGGATGGGGTTACAGCAGGATGGGGATAGAGGAGGATGGGGATACAGCAGGATGGGGATACAGCAGGATGGGGATACAGCAGTTGTAATGGGTACTAAGACGTGTCGCCCCATTATTGCACTTACTGTACACTAACAAAACATATTCATAAAGGAGGTTACGCAGTGAGTCTGCCCTGGGGTTTAACAGTCCTACCACAGCAAATCGTGCCATAAATACATTAAATGCATGTTTGGTATAGCCTATTTTAAATGAATTACATACTTAATTAAACATTGCATTATACTGAAAGCAGTTCACTCTTTTCAGAGTGTGTAACATACGACACTTTCAATACATCTCTATCCCCAAACACATAAAAAATAAAAATCATAAGTAAAATTTGAATACTTTTAAAACAGTTCTTCACAGTGAAGGCTTTTGCAAATTGAAGACAGTAGAAACCAACCAATCACAACAGCAAATGGCACAGATTTATCCGTTGGTTTGTTTTGGTCAACTATAATCATCCACCCAGTCACGCTATAATTTAATTACAATGAGACGAATCGATAAACTCAGTTTAAATGGTACGACTAAGTTAAATACATTTTTAACTGTACATATAAAATGATTTTAATATTTTTAACAGATGATTTTAATAGCCGTTTCGTTCGTCTGTACAATATGTCTAAAACTACCGCTTTCTAGGCTATATGATACGCGATTACATTTTAATTAGTTATTATTTTGATATATTATCAGTAAGTTTAAAGACGTGTTTAACTGAGCAGCTGAAGCAAAATGTACCAACGTCCAATGATCCTAGAGAATCAGACCGCACTCCGTACAAGTGAGGGTAATTTCTCCACTAAAAACTAAGAAAATATATAAATGCAAATAAAATGATAATGAGAAAAACTGCTTCTGGGAAAGAACAGCAGCTTTTTTCCAAAACACTGATTGGATTTAATGCTCAATGTGCCGCTTACGCTGAAAAACAAAACCATTAAAAGGGACCACAGAAAACGTCTCAGTTCTAGCTCAAGATGTTTTTTTGTACATGATTTTGTATTGAGATGATGAACTTATGTTAAATGCTGGTGCCACATAAAGTGACAGGTACCCAGACACGATGAGACCTACTGTACGTACAGTAAGGTCACTTAAATACTTTTCCCGTGAAAAAGTTCTCATGTTCACTAACTATATACAGTATGTTTTGTTTTACAAGCAGTAACTGACTTCTAGCTGTGAGTCTTTTATTTCCTCTTATTTTTGTTTCTGAACCCTTTAATACACCCACAATCGTAAACACACACACGCACACACGTGCACTCAAAGATCGTTACCGTTTTAATGAAATCAATAAAGGCGGTTTGGTTTAATTTAGGAGTACACGTTTCTTCTTAAATTTAACATCAAACATGAAACTAAAAGCCCTCGGTACATAATTGCAATTTCAACATCTGCCATTCGAACTTGTATCACCAAAGCCGTAACTCAGTTTAACTATAGTGGGATTCATTGTCAAAAAACCTGCCCGGCGTTTTTACTGTTTACCCCACATGCAGTACAATAACAACCGTCAAAAATCCAATTTTGCTTTCTTTCTCGAAATTAACTGTACTGTTGTAAAGTGCATCAAAGCGTGGATGCAATTTCTTGCGGAAGCTCCTTTTCAATCTGTAGTGAAGAATGCATCCAGCGCGCATTATAAATATATTCAGACAATATCAATGTATTTTAAATGAGGGTCTTACTCTGGCCTTCGAATTTCCTGATGATGGTGTCCAGGAAAGTGTTTTGCGGCGCCACGTGTCCCCGCCGCACCGGCATCCTGGTCCCAGTTCACGGCTGGAGCTGCGGAGGGTCTAGGGAGCCGAGGCGTCCTTCACGCGCGTGCCGCATGCAGCGCTCAAGGCGCCCTCCTCAAGCGGGGCAAGTGCCGCGCTCCGCCACTTGACGTGACTCTCGGAAACTTTCGATGAGAAACAACAGGCAGGTCGAGACGGGATCGATGACACGTGCAAACGAGCCACCGCTTATTCTTCATGGAGAGCCCCCTTCCAGATCTTCCGGGATGAAGGGCACCTATATGTTTACGTCCCTTTTTTCCACTCCCCCCTCCCCGGATCTGGAATGGTAAGAGGATGCCCTCCCCCTGTCAAGCGAGGGCGCCGGGTTACTTCGTGTCTTGTGTTATGGAAAAGTCCGACACAGGCTGACCGAGCTGCCCGAGGAGGCACGGAGACTTTGCCATTTCTGAGTGACACCCGCTTCGTCCCGCTGCTTTGTGCGCTCCGTGCGCCGGTGCCCCAATGGAAAGGCGAGAGTCCGCTCAGATACGCCCGGTTGCAGCCGCCCTGGGATGTCTTCTCTCCCGAGCGTTCTTCACTCTCCACCGAGATTATCTCAGCTCCCCAGGAGTGGCACCTCTTTAACCATTCATTATCTTACCGTTAAAATAAGCAGTGCCTTCATTTGGCATCTAATTATAATATGGCGCACGACAAAATACTAAACGATTAACTATGCTTTCGATATTATTAATATTAGTGCCTTAGGTGGGAAAAACAGGTGCCAGTGTTTCCCTTGTTCTTCAGTACCGGCAGATTATGAGAGGTGCCGGTACTCTGAATAGAAAAACAAAGAAGTGCGCACTTCAAGCAGTGATTAACGTAACAAGAAAAACATTTGGACATCTAACTTGGCTATAAGATACTGCATGCATAGTCTTTGTAACTATGTATCTATATTTATGTTTAAACGGTTCACTTTTAAACCACTGACACTAAGGTTGGATTAATCTCATTAATTTCGTAAACGCCAGAGAGACCCCCTAAAAGTTACCTCACAGGTGTATCTGCGTGCACAGGTGCAGGCTCGCGCAAGTCTCCGTGCGCCAAAGAAGCGTGATACCGCTCGTGCCGCTGTCGCCCCTCCGCTCTCCTAAGATTTACTGACATATCATCGGGCCGCGATCTACTAACGAAAAACGCTACCGGCGGCGTCTTAATTGCAGCGATTTTTAAATAGACTCACCTTTCCTTTTATTTTTTGGTCACATGGACGTGTGGGTGTATAGGGGAGGACGCCGCTTTTACCTTCGTTTCGCAAGAGATTCGGACCGTGCCAAACACGTCACTGCGCGTGCGAGCGCAATGGATGCGGAGTTCCCTGATCGTCACTGAGCGACGGACAATAGCGTCGAGCCGGGGATGCCGTTTTATCCACCCCTATCGCTACATTTCACTATATTTAAATATGATTACTTCCATGTTGCTTTGATCCCTTTCGCTCTCCACTTATGCTATAAAAAGAAGCGTTAATGCATGTGTTATTTTTGCACAAATCCCGTGAATATATTACTGTAACAAGCTCACTTATAAGCGACCCTCCCCTTCCCTTTTGTGTATGAGACGGGGAAATCCGTGCGCCACGGGCGGCGTCCTCAACTGCCTTTCCTCTGCTCCCTTATTTAGGCACGGACCCACACACAAAGCTCCATTAAGGCGCCCCCTACCGTCTGTTCCAATACCCCACCCATTACACCGCCATATCTACAAATACAGAATGCAATATGTATATCCACAGTTATTTAGTTGTTTTTATTTTATTTAAAATAAGTGATATTTACTAAGAACTGTAGTTATTCGAATGTACAGGGTGACTTCACCTAGACGTTGAAATTATTATAGGCACCAGGCCCTCCGACATTTTTATTAAATGGCGATTTCATTGGTTCGTTTATTATTTAGGTGTGGCATTAACATTTCTTGAACGAAAGCCATTCAAACAGGCAGCTGCTGAATATGAAATGAATTTTGTATTTTTCTTTATTTACTATTTTAATATAGAATGCAGCAGGGGTGGCTCACTGGGTAGCACTGTTGTGTCACATCTCCAGGGTTTGTGCTTCAGATCTTGCCTCCACTCTGTATGAGTATGTAGGGTTTCCCCAATGTTGCGCCTTATGCTGCCTGCAATTGGCTCCAGCTACATCCTCCCCCACATAAGTGTGTAGAACAGTGTTTCCCAGTGTGGTCCTCCGTGAGCCACAGCCGGTCCACGTTTTTGTCCCTCTGTCTGTCTGTGGGTCCCCGAGGACCAAACTAGGAAACACTGTGAATGTATAAGACGGAGGAATACAACATTCAAAGGTGCTCATATTGTCTAACACGGTATCTTATTTTTTTTGTTTTTTTCACAAGGTGTAGTACCAGTGTATCAAAGCGTGGACGCAATTTCTTGCGGAAGCTCCTTTTCATTCTGTAGTGAAGAATCCATCCAGCAAGCATTATAAATATATTCGGACAATATCAATGTATTTTAAATGAGGGTCTTACTCTGGCCTTCGAATTTCCTTGACGTGACTCTCGGAAACTTTCGATGAGAAACAACAGGCAGGTCGAGACGGGATCGATGATTTTTTTGTTTTTTACAAGGTGTAGTACCAGTGGTTCATTTGGAAACCTGGGTTTCTTAGTACAGAACTGCACATATTTTGATCAGATGTGTAGGGAAATGAGCGTGATGCAAACATGGCATGAATTCTAACACACTGCCGGCTCTTTCTGTGGCATTCTGGAAAATCCACTCCACACCACGTCCACCAGTGGAGCTGGGACCTGTCCATGGTGCTGGAGGAAACCTCGAACGCTGGGCCCTGTGCTCTGGGTCAGTGCAACTGGTGGTGGAAACAGGAAGTGGCCATCTTGATCTTCTTCTGTTTTCCCTATCGCCATCGCTGCTGTCCTTCCATAAATGTGTTTAAGACGGTATCCTTCAGAGCACAGATTCTCGCAAGCCGGGCAAATCTTCTAGTCGCCAGGACATCCCTGAGGCCAGAGGCCTTTGTCAGGATCCGCACTCTACACGAGTGGGACTGATGCCAGGCCAGCGAGAGGTCACTCTCCGGAACATTACTGACCCCCAGGTCATAACTTACACGGCCGGCTCTCCTTTCAGCTGTGCAGAAGGTCATTAGCACACAGGATATCTCCTCCAACCCTGCCAACTGACTCTCAGCTTCCCTTTCTCAAAGAAGCTGCCGCTCCCTGTCTATTCCTCTCATTTTTTACCATTTTCCTTGGCAGTTTCCTTGCATCAGCAGTGGGTGCCCAAGGTCATGGATTCTAACCTGAACAGCAGAGTAATTGTATCACAGCTGGGCCCTTGACTAAGGGCCAGAGGTGGAAAGTTCAGGTCCAGAAAGTAAAAAATCCAGACCAAGATTTTACTTTAATAAACCAGTTGAGAATAAAGACTTACATTCACAGAGTACTCAACTGGCTGGTTGAGAGAAAATCTTGGTCTGGATTTTTATTTTCTGGACTTGAACTTTCCACTTCTGCTAAGGGCCTTAAACCTATTCTGTCCAGGGGCACTGGCTGATCCAAAGTTGTCCACTTTGGTGAAGAGTATCTGCTAAATAAGTTGATGTCACGAAATGTGGATATTCAAACGGACAAAAAAAAAAAAAAAAAAAACAAACAAAAGAGCACAGGAATTAGCAATGAGCTGGAACTGCTTCATATCTCCTTCCTCCACTTTACAACTTACATGTCTGAGTATTATTATGAGTATTATTATTCTTACATGTCTGAGAATTATTCTAAGGCAACCCTGTATTTATTGGTGCAGGTACCTGGCTCAAAATACAACAGCAGCCCCTTTGGGGACTTTACACCACAACCTTTTGGTCAGATGCCCAGTAGTTTAAATGCTACGCCACCCAACACCCCATACTTGCAGCACGATTCAGAGAAACATGGGCAGGAGGCCAGTTGGTAGCTGATGCTTGTACTTTATTAACAACATATTAAAAGCTGTACAGAATAACAACTTCAGTGAGTTTCATAAAGCACTCTATAACAAGGGAATCCAGTCATATAATGACTACATGCTACGGTGAATCTTCATCTTCAGACTCAGGAAAGAGGCAGAGGGCTCTCTGGCTGTCCAGGAATGTCCCTTCATCCCAAGTGAGATCAGCGTCTGGACAAGTCCCCACCTGTGAAGAAAAAAGTTTGGTGTAAAGGTTGGTACACATTTGTGGTTTCTAGTAAAGTTGGTATTAATAACATTGGTAAAATACTTCACTATTTAATGTTTCTTTAAATTATGCTACTTATTAAATCCAATCCACACGACAGCAACACTGCATTAGGGAGAGAAAAAGTGGGCAAGGTAAGGTCCATTGGGATTGGTCAGGTGAGACTGATCAGGGTGAGAGCCTATTGACAACGATCAGGGTGACAACGGTCAGGGTGAGCACCATTGGGAGTGGTCAAGCTGGAAATGAGTGTGAGCGGTCAGGATGAAAGAGAGGCTGAGAGGTGGTTAGCACACGAACGGTCTGGGTAAGGCCTGTGTGAGACGGTCAAGGAGTATAGTGCAGACCCTGACAGCTGGTGCACTCGCAGCTGTGGATGACAGGAAGCACCACCGGCTCAGTCTCCCCGCTGTCGCACTGCAGGCTGAGGAAGCGCACGGGGCTCCGGGGGTCCAGCCGATAGCTGCAGCAGTCGCAGGAAGCCTGCAGATAGGGCTCCTGGGGCACAACAGGCGCAGAGCCAGTCAGATTGTGTTTGTATCAGTGACGCATGGCTGCTCACCTGCTCGGGTGCTTAGAGTCGGAAGAAAGAGGACACCTCCCAGATTTATTCCCAGATGCATCCATCATGCCAGCATTCACATGCAAAGTGGAGCAGAAGCGCCCTCGATCCGGCCCAAAACCGTCACAGACGCACCTCCAGAATGACATCCGTCCCAGACAGACAGCGGCCCCTGCAGTAGCTGACTTCCACGTTGTCCAGGCGACAGTTGCCCTTGGTGATATTCCTGACCTCGGTGACGCGCCGACATTGCGCCTCAAGTTCCCCTGGGGACACAGCGGGGTTAAAGAGAAAGAACAGCGAATGATGTTAGAAGCAGGAGCTTAAGGTGAGTGTCCATGAAAGACTGATGGGTGAAACCTGGATGCAGATGGAAAACACAAAATAACCGTCTGAGACACAACCAAGGAGAAAAATGTCAGCCACTGTTCTCCTACCAGGAAACTCCATCCTGCACACTGGACAGCAGCTTCCTGGTTCCAGAATCTTCACTTTCCCCTGAATAACGAAAACCGAGGTCAGCCGGACAATCCCATCGCAAAACAGCTCCACCGTCCAGCTCGAATCCATTAAAACGTCCGTGTTCATGATGCATCATGTCTTTAAATATTTTTATTGCAGCTTTTTGCCAAGTGCTAATGAGGCTGAACGAGGCCGGAGTGGCAATGAACAAGAGCAAACTGGACTATGAATTAATTGCTTCTCCATTCAAACTCCTGTACCATTTATTTCATGGGAGGTAGAAGAAGTTAAAATGGTTATCAGGCGCAGTCTTCTCACAGGTGTAGCGGCAAGCCTGACAGAACAGCTCTGTTACAATGAGAAATATCAGAACTTTTAAGGAGACCGTCCCTCGTACTGTGAGGGGAAACTCACCTCCTCACAGTGCAGGGGGGGGCAGGCAGAGTGGCACTGCTTCTGCCCGTTCACACAGCGGCACGACTGGCATCCCTCTGCCCACTCTGATCCTGCCTGTGCCAAGACATTGACGGTGGGTGGGGGGTTGGGGGGGGGGGGGACAGTGGTTGCTGAAATTTCTCCCCTGACTAAAGTCCATAATCTCATTACTGCAATATTCCTCTCATTTGGAAATCTGTCTCTGGCTCCGCCAAAGCTCATTGGCTGTTACGGCCCAGCCACTTACACGTGGGTGAGTTATTAATCTATGTTGTAGAAGGCATAGGCAGATCACTGCCTCATTTCCGCGAAACACCCCCATGGGCGAATACCTCTCGGAACGTCCCGGCCTCCTGGCACTCGCAAAGCGCGGCGATCACGCACTCGCCGCCACTGCCGCGGTATAGACCCTCCTGGCACACACAGCCCCCCCCAACCCCCACCCCTGGGCCGCCGCAGCTAGGGGGCGTGGCCTCGTAAATCTCGGCACAGCTCCTCTCACAGTGGGATGGTGCCCCCGGACCGCTCCTCCTCCAGCGCTCTCCTGGGGGGCATGCTGAAAGAGATGGGAGGCGGGGGGTGGGGGTTATCCAGTCAGGCCATTAGTGAGGCCAATTCCCCACTGCAAATTCCAGCCCTTAAATACAAGTCACTCTGAAATCAAAATCTTTGTGTGACATGATATAAACAGGGCCAACCCAAGGCATACGAGGACTAAGCTACAGCTTAGGGCACAGTGGCCACCAGGGGGCGCCCGATCTGATCAGCCTGTCAGAATGGGAGGGACGATGACAAATGACAACTGGGTTAATTAAATTTTGCTTACAGCCTCAAAAAGGGCTGGGACGGCCCTGGATATAGTTAATGATGTACACACGCCATTGTCCAGAATGTCTTGGTCGCTGTTCGCTGGTTAGGTAACACCCAATAAGGTCTCTATTCGTTACACGTTATGGACCACAGGAAGTCGTAGAGAGGCCTGCATGAAGAGGAGGAGGAGGAGCAAGCAGCTTTGGATGGCCAGCGAGTGTTACATGGGTCTGTGATCTGTGGGAGGCACTTCTGCGGCAATCAGCACAAGTAGCCTAGCTGACGCAAAGCCATCGCCCCCGTGAGCGAGGCGAGCTCAACCGGACCGGAGCCGCAGGCCCCTGATGGCCCTCAGGGAGGTGCAGAGTGCTTAGTCATGCCGGGGGTTCGTGATTTACTTCATAACAAGTGTAACTTTACTGTGCGTGACGGCCCCATGATTGCAGCTTATGCAACATTTTTAAAACATTACTGTAACGTAGAGCAATAAAAGTAGCCAATGTACATTCTCTGTCTGCCAGGGTTATTATCGAAAACAATAACTAAAACTAATATCATAAGTTAACATCTTCATAAACTGAAATAAAATAAGATACGACAAAATACAGAACTACAGCCAGATGAAAACTGTAAACATTGCTTCTAAAACTGAAATAAACAAAAACAAACAAATACTTTCAGATACTGTTTTTAATACTGTTTATCAAGAGTAATTAATTTATCTTTAATGACCATTTTAAGGACACAATGAGCACTGCGTTCATGTATGATTCTCTAATGATCAAACACATAATACAGTTCTTTCAATTATCCCTAGAAGGTAAAATGTAAATTGAAACCAAAATACATAAAAACTAAATTATTATGTTATTATGTTATTATTATGTTATGTAGCACATTTTCAAACATAGAGGTCATTCAAAGTGCTTTACAGGAAATAAAAGATAAATAGATAAAATAAAAACTAAAAACTAATAAAATTGCACTGAAAAAAAGTAAACTGGATTTCCAATGCAAATTGAAAATGATATAAAAATAAAAACTAAATAAAAAACTGAGTACTCAGCAGTGTTGTGTGCTCACCGCAGTCAGGCCCCGAGCATGGCCGGGAGCGCACTGAGGGCCCCTGACACTCCGCCCCCCCGTACTGCCGGGCCCTCAGCTCCGCCCTCTCAGAGCTCTGCACCCCCAAGTCGCAGGTTGCAGAGCAGGGCCCCCATTCAGACCAGGTGTCCCACTCGCAGTCCACTGCAAGGGCAGGGTAGAGACAGGGACATAATCAAGGCATAAAAAGACAGAGCATCCAGAAGGCAAATTATTATCATATAATTATAAAGGTTGTTATTTATAGGGCAGGTTTTTAAATCTACACCAACATGACAGAACTATCACTAACAGGAAACAGGCCTGAGTCAAACCTCCATATCATAAATTCACAGTGTTTAAAACTACATTAAAGCACCTCTTGTCCTGCATATTAAGTAGGGGTGTACCCCCCGTAATAAGAAACAGACTGTCCTGAGCTATCCTGGGTTGTGATGGAGTTAACGATCCACGTAATGACAAGAAGGGACGTGACTCTTACCATCGCAGGTGTCTTCAGTGCAGTTAAACACGCCGCCCTGGCAAACGCTTAAGACAGGAAGTGGGGGGGGGGGATGATTCGCACACAGGACACAGGCATAATAATAATAATAATAATAATAATAAGAATAATAATAATAATAATAATAATAATAAGAAGAAGAAGAAGAAGAAGAAGAAGAAGAAGAAGAAGAAGAAGAAGAAGAATTATTATAAGAGGAGGTTAAAGCAGAGGTGTGGGGGTACCAGGTGTTACAGAGATGCTGAAGGACCATCCCAGGAGGAAGCTCCTGTTTCTGCTCCTCTGAGCTCAGGTTTAGGGGCCCATGGAGTGAGAATGAGGAGCAGGGACACTCCTTGTGAGGAACGCAGGATCCCTCAAGCAGGACCTTTGGGGAAAACAGGGCACTTAAACTGCCAAATGACCACAAGGATATCTGGCTAGACTGTGTCTCAGTCCTGCTCCTGAAGTACCACCTGCCAGGAAGTTGCATGAAGGTGGTAGGTTGTGAGCAGTGTGGGTTTGACCAAAAACTGGCAGATGGGCTATAGAATTTCAGAGGCATCTGAATGGTTCAGAAAGACAACCAACCAGGTTATAGAAGAGGTGGGACCAAGCAACTAGAAAAGGCAGGACCAAGACATCTGATTGGTTGGTCCTGCCTCTTCTAGTTGTTTGGACCCACCTCCTCCACAATCTGACTGGTTATCTCCCTGAACCAATCATTATTATCATGGAGGTCCTTATAGTACAGTGTGTGGTTTGACGGTTTGGAGATCTTGGTTTGGTTATGTCTTCGTTTGGCTATCTCTTTGAACCAATCATTTCTCGTTCTGCCCTCAGACCATTTTTGCGTAAATAAAACTCCCACTAGCGACATCTGACCACAGGCCGATGCCGGCCTCCCTCCAGCAGATGGCAGTGTCACAGACCTTGCCGGGCGGGCAGGTGCAGCCTGGTTGGCAGGGCCCTGGCACACACTGAGTCTCAGGCCACAGGTCCTCACACGTGTAGGGGCAGACGCCTGCACACGCGCTGAACACCTGGCCTCCGGTGCATTCTGCGGCAAGGGCCAAAATAAAATGAAATCCTTCAGAGTGCACATTTAGCAGGCTTGGCAAAGTGTCGGAACAATAGAAGGGATTTACAAGAATTTGTACAGTGTGCCGAGGTTCTTCTGCATATGAATTTCTCTTCTTCGTGCTTCTTCAGCTTAAAAATTTGAACATGAATTTAGCTCTGGGTTCATTGTTAAATGTACTTTTCAAAGTATCTGCTATTTCAAGGGGGCTGATACTGGAATGACAAACCTCAAAAAGGACGAATTACGTGTTTTATGATATTTTTTTAACTGCATCTGCTTTAAAGTAAAGCAGTGCTTTAGTGGATTGGATTCAGAACCTTCAATTGCAATAAAATTGGAGGTGCCCTTAAGTACAGCGATCTGTAGTGTGGGTGCATGTATAATGGGCTTTAGAAATGTAAGTCTTGTATTTTGTTTGGTTACTTACGGTTAAGGTTAGGGCTGGGTAGGGGGTAAGGTTCTCATTGCTGCGATTAGGGTTTTTCACACAGAAATGAATGGATGGTCCCCACAAAGATATAAAGACAAACCTGTACTGTATGTGTGTGTGTTCTGTGTGTGTGGTCCAGGTATACTGTACCTTACCTTGTGGGGACCAAATGTCCCCACATCATGATGAATATCCATTTTTTTACCTTATGGGGACCAATTTCCTGGAATTTCCAGGAAAACTCTATTTAATAAAAATCCATGACTGCAATGAAAAAACTAAAAATGCAAAAACTCTCGTACTTTGTTTGGTTACTTATGGTTATGGTTAGGGCTGGGTAGGGGTTAAGGTTCTCATAGTTAGCGTTAGCATTTTTCCCATTGAAATGAATGAGTGGTCCCCAAAAAGATATGATTACATGGCTGTGTGTGTGTGTGTGTGTGTGTGTGTGTGTGGGAACACACCTGGCAGGCAGCTTTGTGTATTACAGGCAGTGTGCTGCTCCAAAGGGGAGGAACAATCCTCTCCACCAGGCTGGGGCTCCTGCAGGACGGTCTTGTTCCGCACTGACACGCCTCCTCCACAGGAGGCGCTGCATGTGCTCCAGGAGGACCAATCGCTGAGCACGCAACCCACTGAGACAAATCGGAAATGTTGTTAAAAGGGAACAAGTGGACCCAGCTGACCCCGTCTGATGACAGGAGCAGCGCTCACCTGGACAGGAGGGCAGGAGACAGAGCTGGGTCTGGTTCATTTCCTCGCACGGTGGTCCGCCGGCTGTATGCCGGCACGTGCGGCTGCGGTTCTGGTATCCAAACCCGCAAGAGGAAGAGCAGCTGCCCCAGGGCCCCCATGATCCATACACAGGGCAGGGCAGGTCACTGCAAGCCAGGGAGCCATTCTCGCATGTACTGGGAAACAAAAGACTCCATCAGGGTTTCTAGCTTCAAAGCAACAAGGAACGTTACCGGCTGCAGGGCTCTTGTTATCATGCCCACCTACCAGTTGTTGCAGTCTATCATGACGACCTCTCCAGGCAAGATCTCCAGGGTGCCATTTTCCATAGGGATGCCACAGCGGCACTCGGACTCGGGGACACATTGTCCGTCCTGTGTGAGCCAGCTGTCAGGGCATCGGCAACCTGAATGGAGGGATCGAGGCAGAAAGGTAGAGGGACGCAGAAAGTAAGAGCATGTGGGAGAGACAGGAAAGGCAGAGGGACGCAGAAAGTTACAAACATTTTACAAACCTTTAAACTCATAGAAGAAAAAGATTCTAAATGGCATGTAAAAGGCATTAATTCCCGTAGAATCATGCTACCTGGCTGACAGGCCCCCTGCAGACACTGCACATGCTCCCAGAGGTCCGTGCAGCTCCGAGGACACTGGTTGGCGCAGGACTCCTCATATATGCGACCTCTGTCCTCGCACCTCTCACCTGAGTGACACCACATCCCCCCTCCAACGTCACTTGCAGCTGGATGCCAGTGATACCCCCCAGCCATGATGTCAGCTATCATACATGTGTGTGTTTTACCGCGGTGCCTGTGCTTCCTGCTCACCTGGGCAGAGGCCGGTGTTGCAGCTCTCAGTCTGGGATTGCTGACCCCGACACTGGGGCCCCACGGGGATGTCCTGGCGTGTCCTGTGACGCTGACGGAAGCCCCCGCTGCAGGGCTCCTGGCAGGCCCTCCAGGGGCCCCAAACGCTCCACTGGCACACATCTGAAGGCCCAGCAAAGAGGGACAACACAGAACCATCAGCGCTAGTCCGCATTGACCTAGGTCAGCGCTCAGGTCAGCACCGCCCCCTCCTGGCGGACTTACCCAGACAGACAGCGGGGTCCGGACATGGCCTCTCCTCCTCCAGCTCCGCGCCACAGCTGCCCTCCTCTTCCTTGCTGATGGGCAACCCGGAGTCCAGGTCCAGACAGGCGCGGTACCGGCGCTGGAAGGACAGCGGCCGCACGGCATCCAAGAGGGCCATGGTGGCATGTGTGGTGGGTGGCAGCACACAGGGGGAGCAAGGAGTCCATTCTGACCACTCACTGAGGGATACTGAACAGGGACAGCATGGCAGAGTCACTTCACTCAATGCTAAACCCTTATCACTCCCGTGCTAAATGCTAAACCCTTATAACCCCTTTTATATATATCCCCTGTGCTAAAGGCTAATCCCATTAGATGCCCTGTGCTACATGCTAAATGCTAAACCCTTATATCTTGTGTGTTAAATGCTCATGTACACTGGGCTGAACCCTTATATCCCCTGTGCTGAATGCTCATCACTTCTAAGCTAAATGTTCATGTCAACCGCATGTGTGAAATGTGACAGCATCTGTGCTAAAAGCTAGCGTCCCCCAGGCTAAACATGCTATTTTCACTGTGCTAAACATGTCACACGTTACATGCTGTAAAGTCACATTAGTTACTCTTTACCCTGCACTACACATCCATGGTCTTCCTCCGTATTAAAGCATTACTATGCTGCCTTCCATTGAATGCTCATATCCTCTGTATTGACACGTGAATCATCTGTGCTAAATGTATAATATATATAGGCCTTCTGTCATTTTCGAACTTTATGCATTAAAAAGTTAAGGTTGGGGAGAATCACGAGAGAATCATACGAACATCACGAAAGAAGCTCACAAAAAACCGGGCTCCATTCTCAGTGCTCAAAAAGCTTGCTAAGATCCAACCTGCTTGGACAACCTCACAGTGCTACGTAATGATACATTAGGCAAGACTTCACAAGCTACCTATTAATAAAATAAAAAACAATTAAGGCTATTATTTCAAATTTAGTTAGTTTGAAAGTTATTTAAAAGGCAAAATAGATCACTTGTCAGGAATTATGAAATATCACAATTACCGGACCACATAGTTAATCCTCTTATGAAATTTCTTAGGGAAATGAAGAATTAATGTCAGGTTTCATTATATTAATTTGGATTATGAATCACCAGGGTACTACAGTTCTAACTTTAAGACAATACTGATTAAAAACTGTAAGAAAATATTTAATGTGATTATATATATATATAATATACATACACACATATACATAATTATATGTCATTATATACTGTACTCAGTCTTGCACATGTAAATGTATTTTAAATTTGTTATATATTCAGTGTGATTAATTTCCTTGAATCTCATTACATTTCCTTTCGGAGAGGAAGGAGCATATAACCAATGTTTTTCTGCAGCTCATGTGCTGTTGTTACAAACTGAGAGCTGTTACCCTCTGCGGTTGTGTGGTTCCTTGTAAGACCCTCCCACCCACTGCATGGGGGCGGCCCTCTGATGCCCAGGCTCACTCTTAAGTGTCACTCATACAGGAGACTTTGACACGCTTCAGAAACACGAGGCACGGTCTCTCATGCTCACCCTCACACTCGCGGCTGTCACAATGCAGGCCTTCATCCTGACACAGGCTGTCAGAGACAGAAACAGAGACACTGAGAGATATCTCCTCTGTGCCTCTTCAAGAGGATGTTCTGCTTAGGCACACCCTGCATCCCATGGCGAGTCAAGCACACGTTTTTCTGGAATCTGTCTAGGATGGTGTCTCTGACTGCCTCAGTCTCTCACCAGGTGCTGCAGCCGACGGTCACCGTCTCCCCCTGCTGGATGGTGATGGAAACAGGCCTCCCATGCAGTTGGTGTAGCAAGACCGTGCAACCACACTGCCCGGGGGGAACACAGGTCCCGTTCTGCTGAAGCAGGCCCTGGAAACACGCAGCAGGGATCCGCATAACAACATGCGCTCTGGACTTCGCAGGATGTGATCTCCACGGGTCGCCATTGTTACAACATTGGGACGTACCAATACAGCGTGCCAAAGGGATGCACTGATGGAACGTACCAATACGGCATGTTAATAGGCCACGCCGATGGGGGCTAACAATGGGGTGTGGAAGAAGGGCATACCTGAGGACAGTAGCATCCAGGTGTGCAGGCCGGGGGTCCGGCACATGTCCCATTGTGTCCTTGAAGTGCACAGAGCTTTTCACAGGGAGAGCCGCAGTCGGCGTACTGGAATGGCTCCTTGCACTCTGTCACAGGAAGCAGCACCAGCCCAGAAAGAACCACGCAAATATTAGCCTTCTCAACATCATTTTCAGCCATTTAAATTGTGCTAATATAATAACCCGTAACACTAAACCCACTGAAAAACATTTTTTAAAACATTCCTTTTTCACGCCGATGTGAACTTATTATTTTTTTGTAAAAAATTAGAACAAAAAATCTTGTCCCTTGGAGATGCTGCTCACACAGGGTGAGACAGCATGAGGTTCAGCTGGTTCAGCCACTGTGTCTGTAATCGGAAGGTTGCCAGTTTAAATCCTGTCCTAAGCGGAACAGTTACGTGTCGGCTGGACCCCTCCAAAGGCTTCAGAGCTGCCAGTTTAACGGTCTGACCCTGAACATACAGGGAGTTCCCAGGTTAAGAGCATCCAACTTACAGACAACTCAAATGTGCAAACAGGCTGCTATAAAGTTCAAAAATGGGGTCTGGACATTTAACCTGAAAAAATTCAGGTTAAATACAATGGTTGGTAATAAGAAACACACACACTGCTTTGTGATGCTCCTGAAAACATTGCGTGGCTTCAGAGGTTTGTCAGTTTGTGGTACAGTGGTACCATAAAATATGATGTTCGTTTTATTATTATTGTATAATAACTATTATTATTATGATATACTTACAAATTCAACTTAAAGACAGACCAAGGGAACAAATCTGTTTTGTAACCAGGGGACTGCCTATATATGTGTGTGTGTGTGTGTGTGTGTGTGTGTGTGTGTGTGTGTGTGTGCGTGTGCGTGCGTGAAAGATGAGACATTAGAATGTACAGGTATAAAATCAATGAATCCTGACATTTTCCCAGTAAATTACATCTCACAGGATTCACACACACAATCCATCAGTAAAGTCACCCAGGCAATGTTGAGGTTGACAAGTCCTGCTCTCTGTCTGAAGCTCTGGGCACTGCTGCCCCCTGATGGCAGCAGAGAGCGGTGCACGATAACGTTGCTCCCTCTGAGACTGGCAGGAGCAGGCCGTCCACTCGCTCCACTCAGACATTGGGCAGTCTGCTCAGAGACGGGGAGAGCGAGATGGAGTGAGGGAGGGAGGAGGTGAGAAAGTGAGAGAGAGAAAGGGAGAGGAGGGGGAGAGGAGGGGGAGATGGAGCAGGGAGGTGAGAAAGAGAGGGAAAGAGAGGGAGAGGGGAGGTGAGACAAGTGGGAATCAGAGGTAAAAGCTGCTATGTGCAGGTGTTGCTGGGGATGATGTTTGATGCCGGCGTTCTCAGGCAGTTTTCGCTACTAGCTAAAATCACGGCGCGTGGAACCTGGGCAGGGCTGTTTGTAGCACAGCCGGGTCTCCTCTTCCTCCTGCGCCCCCTCCAGCTCCGCCGGGCACGGGGCATCGCCCCCCTCGGCACACACGCACCTCCTGTGACGAGACATGACCCCAGCGCCGCAGGTGCGAGAGCAGGAGGACCACCGAGACCAGGGGCAAAAGTCGTCTGGGGAACATGCACAGGAAAGGTTCCTTTGTCTGAACCACAGTAAAAAAAACTTCTTTGTACCTTTCATTTAGTTCATCAAAAGTTAAACATCAGAGCACTAGTGACCAGGGGAAAATCTGATTAACAATCACTAAAGTGCAATAATAAGGATAAACATTATACACAGTACAGTGCAAAAATCTTAGGTACTCTTATCTGGGTGATAAGTGTATATATAAGTGCATATTTGCAGAATAAAAAAATCTATTTAGATCACGTGCAAATGAACAGTAATCCAATAAAAAAAGGCCACTGATGTCTCGCTGGACGGCTAGATGAACACCGCTTCAGTTCCCAAACCTCTCCTCAGGGGCACCTCAGCATTTCACCACCAGCTCAATTAATTAAAACTATTTAAACATCATTTTCTTTGTTTAAAACTTTTGCACTGCACTCCACATGCCACATACTGTACAACACATAACGTCATAGTAACGGGCAATATCGGAGGGATGGCAGGCAGAGTCATGTGACACCACATGTGATTGGGTGGATAGAACAGGGAGTCTATTTGGGTCCAGGGGCAGAGAGGGGCTTTACAATAACAATGATGAGAAACTATAACGACAAATAGGTGTTTCAGCGTCTGTACAAGGTGGGAGTTCTACACAGCAGCAGTGCGGGGGCAGTGCGGTGGCAGTGCGGTGGCAGTGCGGCGGCAGTGCGGCGGCGTACCGAGACAGGGAGGGGCGTGGCAATCCTGGGTCTCCCTCTCATCTCCGGGGCAGAACATGCCGTTGTTACGAGGAGGGGGGTTTATGCAGGCGCGGGTGCGGATGCGGGTCCCACGGCCGCAGGTCACGGGGCAGTCAGACCACACGGACCAGGGAGTCCACCCACCGTCCACTGGGAGATGCGAGAGGGTCAGAGACCGGACCGAGCACAGCTCCATCCTGGAAGCGTTCGGGACGGGCCTGGGCCTGGTCAGCCGCCACTCACCTTGACACTCGACATCCTGGCAATAGTCTCCCTCAGGGGTGCAGGTGCTAGAAAACACAGAGCAAAGATGAAAGTGACCCGCAGTGTGCTTTTCATTGCACTCCGAAGCAGCACTGTGAGGTGCCCAAGGTGATGCCTGTCTAAAAACATCATGTTCATTTCCTCCACCACCAACCCAACCCCCCCCACCCCACTCACCATTGCTTACACTCCCCCTGGAGCCACGTGTCACCCACAATCAGCTCCTGGTCGTCATGGATACAAAGGGGTGGGCATGGCCCTAGGTCACACGGTTTCCTCTGCACTTCCTCGAACTGGCAGTCGGCACCATCAGGTTCCGGGACCATTGATCTGGTGAAACGTGGAGTCGTGATATACTTGGGGCTCCTAAGATCTTATTAAAAGTATAAAAATGGCATCACAAGAGCAAGAACATGGCAGCAAATGTCCCAGCATACCAAGTCAACTAGGTATTCAGTGTAAAATACCACATTTCAGCAAAACATGCAAATAGTGACTTCTTTCTTTCTGCATTCCTCACAACAAACTGTGTTATACCAGGAGTATTTTTTATATAACAATTGAAATGTAGCCCTTCCATTTTTTCTGTGGACGCATTGTACCCCTCCAGCCACTAGGGGCAGCAGCCACCATGCTGGGTAGGGATTCTGGTGCCTTGAGGGGTCTCCAAGATGCATAACTGAAATTTCTCAATTATAAAGCTAAACTGCACCCTGGATAAAAGTGTTAGCTAAAGATAACAATTCAGCACCAACCGGAATCGGGTCCTGTGGCCAGATCCGCAGGAGGCGCTGCAGGACGCCCAGGCGGACCATGCGCTCCAGGAGCAGGGAGCCTCTGAACAGCTCCAGTTGGTGCAGGACAGGAGGCCGTCTGCGCAGCTGCAGTTGTTGCAGTCGTCCTGGTGCCAGCTGCCAGCGGCCCAGCTGTGACCCTGGGAGTCGGTGCAGTCACACTGCCATGCGTGTACGCAGGCGCCATCCTGCTGCAGCCGGCCTGTGCAGAACAGCATCGCAGGCTCCGCATTCAGAGAGCCCCTTAATACAGTGCTTTACAAACACACTGCTCGACAACTACAACTGTATCTGTTAACAAAGAGCTATGTCTAGCTCTTAGTTCAGAAAAAAAATTAAATTCAGAAAAGCTCATAAAATTATTTAATTCATTTAATATTATATAAAAATATTTTAAGTCTCGCAGGGGTCCTGTGTGAGCCAATGGGATGGTTAAATTTAGTTTGGCTGATGTTGCCATAGAGACCCAGTCCCTGTGGCCCTGTGTACCATCATGGTAGGGTTATTTACAGCATTGGTTCTCATACTGTGGCGATATGACCCCCCCCCAGGGGTGGCACGCATGACATTTCGTCATTTCGTCAGTATCCACCACCAACACCCAAATGTAATCATATTTGAGTCGTAAGACTTGACCCAGTGTTTTTTGAGAGGTTTGAGAACCACTGATGTTACAAAGATCTGGGGAGCTACCAAGTCATCGCTGTGTCTGATTTGGAGATCAGGTAAAGAAGAGGAGAGCAGGAGGAGCTCTGTGGAGTAATGGGGAGGTGTAACTTTGTGTTTTTAGGATCCCTCCCAGCTATGCATTTCACCTTTAAAAGGGCCTTGGCCCTTTCTGCCACTTGCCCGTAAACCCCTCCATCCAGCAGTCCTCTAGCCCATGTCTATGTCACATGACTAAGGTAATATCCAGTAGCATGACCGTTCTGTCGTCAGCTGATGTGGCACCCATACTGAGCACAGCACTGTAATTACGGCCAGTCACCTGTCAGCAGACCGCTCAGGGTCACCAGATGGTGGGAGCAGACAGGAGCTGCCAGGCAGGTTTCCCCCCGACGCCGGCCCCCTTACCTGCTGGGCAGCGGCAGCCGGGTTGGCACCCACCATCCTCCTGGCACCGGATGCCCTGTTGCAAGTCCGAGCAGCGCTGTGGGCACACATTGGCACAGGGCGCAAACTCCTGACCCGGCGGGCAGCCCTGGTCATCTGTGGATAGACAGACATGCACGCAGACACACACGCATACATGCACGCAGACACACACGCAGACACGCACGCAGACACACACGCATACATTATACACATCCCATTGCCCCACTCAGGTCTCAGTAATGAGCAGACGGCATGCGTTGCTTGGTATAGGGCAGCTAAATGCAGAGTGAATTGGGACTGCCCTTGTACCCTTCATAGATACTATTGGCAGGTTACTATGAAGGTGGGCAGGGACTCTTAACGCTTCCCTTAAGGTCTCATGGTGCTCAGCAGCCCTAATGTCACATGACCCTGCGTGCAGGATGACAGGGTAAATAAGAGCTTGTACGCAGCCTCACCACAGGGCTTGGTGTTGCAGGGTTTCACCTGGTTCCTGTCCCCCTTGCATGAGCGTCCCCCGTTTTTGGGAGGGGGACTGGTGCAGGAGCGTGTCCGGATGGAACGGCCACCCCCGCACAGGCTGTCGCAGCGTGACCAGGGGCTCCAGCGGGACCAGCTGCCATCCACTGGAAGAGGGGGGAGGGGGGATGGGGGGGCAAGGAGAGACAGGTAAAGGGATGCAGAAAGAAAGATGGAAAGAAAGAAATGAAGAGTTGGGGAGATAGAGGAATAAACATACAGTATAAGGAAAGAGAGAAGGAGAGGGAGCGTATATAGTTCAAAAATGGGGTCTGGAAACAGAGATGTAGCCTGATCATTAGCTGACACAGAGCAAGCAGAAAGCCAGGCTGGTCCTCGGAGGTCGTCCTTGTGATGCCTGTGCCCAGACTGTCTATCCTGCTAGTCTACATCACAGCACCTTCAAGTGCTTAGACAGCCACAGTGGTCCCTCTAATAGCACTCATTTACATGTCATCCTTTCATCGTTTGGATTTTTGCTAAAAAAGATAATGTCATGCCTTGTTAACATTATCCATAGTGAAGATCTCACAACCATGAACGTGCCATTGGGAAGCCAGCAGAACCAGACAGAAGATGGATGGATAGATGGATATATGGGTGGATGGGTAAATGGAGGGATAAATGGGTAGATGGATGAATGGATGGATATATGAATGCATAGATGGATGGATGGATGGATGGATGATGGTTGGATGGACGGACCTAGGATACCCTGTTGTGCTTAGCTTGGCTACTCCCAGGTCGACTCACCTCTGCAGGCCCGGATGTTGCAGAAGCGGCTCTCCATGTGGCCCCCCAGGATGTCCTCGCACCAGGAGCCATTACCGCCGGGGGCCAGATATGTCCTGATGCGCTGCTGCTGCCCAACACCGCAGGAGCGAGAGCAGGGAGCCCAGTCCGCCCACTCTGTCCATGAGCAGTTCCTCCTGACACAGTTTTCATCCCAGCAAGGCCCCCCGTCTGTAAAGGGACGGACAGACAGACAGACAGATGGACAGATAGACAGACAGACGGACAGATAGACAGACAGACGGACAGACAGACAGACAGATGGACAGACAGACGGACAGGCAGAAGGACAGACAGATGGACAGGCAGACAGATGGACAGATAGACAGACAGACGGACAGATAGACAGACAGACGGACAGACAGACAGACAGACGGACAGGCAGACGGACAGGCAGAAGGACAGACAGATGGACAGGCAGACAGATAGACAGACAGACGGACAGATAGACAGACAGACGGACAGACAGACGGACAGACAGACAGACAGATGGACAGACAGGCTTTATCGGTCCAAACAGGAAGGTGACAGTGCAGTACCACGTACAGTTTAGTCGAATCAGCCTAACAGGAGGAGAAAAGATGGCAGACAAGCCAATGTAAAGCTCACTGAACGTGGTTAGATGCAAGGGAACAGGGCCCTGGGTCATGTTTTCATGGAGCACTACAGAGTGGGAGCGTGTTTGGACATGTTTCTCATGTGTTTCAGTATTTCTGTGTCATATTCAAGCAAATAAACAATCCAACAATCTACAAGAATGATTTTTAACATGATCAGTAAGACTTGCATATAAATTGTGAGCATTCTCCCATTAATTAACTTGGAGAAAAATAAAGAGTAAATACTTGTTCATCTTTAGATAGATAGATAGATAGATAGATAGATAGATAGATAGATAGATAGATAGAGTACAAGGGTACAGTCCATTTTCTCCATGTGATGATTTGAGACTGGGGGGCTGAAGCATACCAGGACACTGGGGTAGGTTGCAGGCTATCTCCTGGCTTTGCTCTCCAGAGCAAGGTGGTCTCACACACTCCCGCCTCCGGCTCTTCCAGGCGGGGGTGCGAGCGTCGCTGCATGACCGAGAGCAAGCACTCCACAGGGACCACGGAGAGAAGCCAGCGTTCTCATCTGCGGACGAACACAAAGGTGGTCAGCCACCCTACGGTGAATAGGCTCCACGCAGCAGGACAGGAGTACGATCCTGGTACAGAATCCCAGAAGGAGATAAACTCATTTTCCCAGAGTGTAAATATAACCAGTACAGACCATAACTGTGTTTACATCTGGAGCTACACCAGAACCGTAAACCACAGTGACCGGATTTTGAGATCATAGCTAATAATATTATTTGGCTACTATTTTACTTCATGAGATTTTAACCATCGAACAATTGCTTATTAGAACACATTGGTTTAAAACCAGCAGGATGTCCCTGGAAAAGCCGTCTTTCACCCTCTTGACGGTATACATCAATTCTGTCGATCTGAGGTCAACCCCATTCCAAAAAAGTAAAACTTAAAAAACAAATAAATAAAAAAAATATGAAACTGCGCCAAAAACTTCAAGAGGCAAAAGTCCATCCAGCTGCTAAACTATTACAGACTTTCAGTGGGAAGCAAATGCTAATAATCAAAGACAGTTTTTCGGGATCAGATAAAATAACACATAAAACCATGACTGGCCATTTACAGAGGACGGTTCTCAAAGTTTTCCTTCAAACTTTGAAGGAAACCATTTACACGTTCCCCCCTACGCTCCATTTTCACACCGAGGCCTCTCATGCTAACTGGGCCTGAAACACGATCAAATCCCCCGGGTCCATTTCAAAATGAAAACCACAGTTCATGGCAGGGAGTCAGATTCCATCAGCCTTTCACAAAATGTTTTATTACTATAATGAGGTCAAGGCATCTTACAGCTATTTTATAGGTGAAAGGTCAAGATGCAGTTTGCGTTCCAGAGTGTGCAAGGGAATCAGAATCGCATCTGGAATTTGTTTATTGCAAAGTACTTTTTACTGTAGCATGTCATACAAAACAGTTAAGGAAAATCGAGACAATCAATAACCTCCTGAGACCCCACCCATTCATTTATGTCCATTGTAGTGGACATTTTGTTTTTGCATCTATCTTTTCACTGATGTAAGGAAGCATATTTATTCCTGTTGTACACTAAAGAGGACATGCTGTGAAATTAAAAATAAAAATAAGTTAGAAAAAATCTAAATTGTAAGATGTCTTATTTCCACCAAAGACAAATAACCTAAAATTGAAGGACACTTTTTCCCTTGGGTCTCAGGAGGATATAATAAATTATTAACATAAATAATACCATACCTGGAGCTAGAAGGCACCATAACAGATGAAAAAAAAAAGTTGAATCTCAATAGTGTCATGGGGGCACAAGGTGGGGACAGGGACTGCAAGGTAGCGGTGACAGGGTGGGTGACAGGGTAAAGTGGACCAGGCCGCAGCAAACACGGCCGGTGAGGGGGGGCTGCCGCTCACACACACTTACCCGGAGCTGAGGGCTTGACGGTCGGAGTGAGGATCACTGCATAGACAGAGAAGACCAGTTACAGGTGCGAGACCCAGCTAATGGCGCTAAAACCCGGCAGGACCGAGGAATCTGCATTGACCAAACATGCGGGAGATACTGTAACACCCCCCTTTTGTAGAAATTTTGAATCAAACCTATTGGGATCTGAGGACTTTAAGTGGCAAATTCAGGCAAGGTTTGTTGCAAATCAGGTGAAATTCTCTATTTCTTCTTGAGTACAATCAGGAGATGTGTTTGATGAAAATTTCTGAGTTCGGTCATGATTGAGCTTTTAAGGATGGTGCTTGGTTAATTTGAACTCTGAGTGTTGCATAGAAAAAAAATGTACGTATTAAAACAACCAATCAGCACCTCACATGGTTACATCATGGAACGAATACAAAGCATGGCACAATTAATCAGGAACTCTGCTGAAACTAAAACCTGTATAAGTGGCCCCCCGCACACCCTGGGTTAACACACGCACACACAAGTTGATCAGATGGGGCGCCCCCTGGTGGCTGCTGGGTTCTCTAGTACCTGGACAGTCCGGGGTCTGGCAGTAAGCATGCTCCTGCAGTGGCCCCTCGCAGTCCTTGCCTCCGTGTGCGGGGGCGGGGTTGCTGCAGGTCCGGGTTCGAGACTTCTGACCCAGGCCGCCGCAGGACAGCGAGCAGGGGCCCCAGGCACCCCAAGGGGATGGGCCCCCATCACGTGGGCAAGGGATGAGTGAGCAGTTCCATTGACCATGTTGGCATTGGCTGTGACGGGTTACAGATAATAAAAACAGCAAAGACTTGTAAAGTATCAGCCATTTTTATGAGGCTATACACTATAGTATTGGGACACCTAGGCATTACACCCACCGGAAATTTTAAGACATCCTGTTCTAAATCCATAGGCTTTACTATGGAGTTGGAAGCGTAGAAGCATAGAATACTTAATGTGGTATGTATACCAAGACATTTTGGCCAATTATATGTTTCTAGTTTTGTGGGAAGTTTGGGGAAGGCCCTTTTCTGTTTAGGCATGACTGTGCCCCAATGTACAAAGCAAGGTCCATAAAGGCATGATTGGGTCAGTTTGGTGTGGAAGAACTTAACTAGTCCACACGGAGCACCTTTGGGGTGAATTAGAATGGAGATTGTGAGCCAGGTCTTCATGTCCAACATCAGTGCCTGACCTCACAAATGCTCTTCTGGATGAATGGGCAAAAATTCAAACAGACACACTCCAAAACATTGTGGAAAATTTTCTCAGAAGAGTGGCAGCTGTTATAACTGCAAAGGGGGGGACAGACTCCATATTGACGCCTGTGGATTTAGAATGGGACGTCATAAAAGTTTCCTGTGGGTGTAATGGCCAGGGGTCCCAGTACTTTTGTCCATATTACATATATTACGATAATAAACCCTTACTTTCTCAAATCATTCTGCCAGGAATGTCTCTGCAAAGCTGGACATCCTTGCGGCATAAATGCTGCATGATTACTTGACTAATCTGTTACTAAAAACCTCATGATTTTTACCTCCAGGCTTGTGTCTGTATAAGGTACTCAGACTCCAAACTGAAAGGTACAACAGCAGTGCCGTTCTTTGGGCCAGAAGCCGTGATCTTCGAGTTACAAACTTTTGCTATGTTACCAGTCACGCAATGCAGCTGACATGCGACGGTCATACCAAGCGCTGCACTCATGTGCCAGTGCAACTCCTGGCTGTAGCTCTGTCCCCAGCGTCAGGTTCTGCCCCTCAGAATCTCGAGGGGCGGGGCTTGCAGCTGGCGTCACCGACACGTTCCTCAGCAAAGACAGGAGCTGCAGGTTAACCTCACAAGGGCACTCCTGTGCACCAGGAGAGAAAGGGTGGGTCCCAATATCAGACCTGCCCCCACCTCCCCACCTCCTTGCCCACCCCAGCTGTAAAATGCAGACGGGAAGTGCTGTCCTATGCTTATTTCTTGACAGCACTGCAAATAGTGGCATGACCTTGTCTACCCAGCACAAAAGTAATAAAAAAGAGCTTGTGTCTACATTATTTCTTCACTATGTCATCATCAAGGATGTCAGTAATTTACTTCACAATATTTCTCTAAAAATCTCCACATTCGGCAAACTTCTTATCAAACATACAGGCACATGACTAAATACAAAACTCGGGACTCATTACAAATGATCTGTGCATCGATGCCTAACAGGAAAATAAATCCTTCCCATCTCTCTAACTCCTGTTATTTAATGATTTGCCCCTCATCTCCCTCCCATCTTATTTTTCCATCATGCGATATAATAAAAGTGCAGGGAACACCAAGATAAATGGTGACTCAAAGTGGGGCGATTTTGTGTTTCTGTTGATATTTCCCAGCAAGTGATTCAACATGTCTGAGTCACACATGTTGAGGGTCAACAGGCATGATTGCAGTTGTCAAAGTTGTAGAAAAAGTGCCTCAATGATCAGTATTAGCAAACGGATGGACGAAGGGCCAGCTCAACCCTCTTCATGGTCCTAAGCAAGATTTGATTAGTCTAGTTATTTGTTATCTTCCTTCCTGTTCTGAAAGGCTGAGCATATATTGGGCCCCCTGGTGGCTGCAGGGCCATAAGCAGCTGCTTAATCTGCTTTTGCCTTGGGTTGGCCCTGGATGAATGGGCGGATGGATGGATGGATGGATGGATGGATAATCAAATGATTAACTGAGATGGCTGGCACATTTGAATGATCATTTACCAGAGACGTCATCAACCCCTTAGTGATGAGATCTTGGATGGTAGGAAGCAGAAACAACACTGATTAAAAGTGTGACTCTACGTATAACGTGAAGCTCCCTCACCTGCACACAGGAGCCGCGGTGCAGGAACATGCGCGGCGGGCAATGGCAGCCTTCGTCACAGCCGTCACTATAGCAACCCTCCCGCCCACTGACCTGGGCGCAGCTGAAAGGGCAGCCCTCCCCCCACTCGCACTCCCGGTACAGGCGGCCGGGGGGGCATCCCACCTCTGACACCCAGGGGTGGAGCGTGAGACGGGCAGATGGGGGCGGAGACGAGGACATGGGCAGCATGAGTGAAAAACAGTAAGGAGAAGACAATATCAGGACGATTCACATCATTATACTCTCATTATACTCTCAGATTCAGATCATTATACTCTAAGATCATTATACTCCCCATATCATACTTAGATTTCCATAAGTATTCCTTCATTATACTCTCAGATTCAGATCATTATACTCTCATTATACTCTCCATATCATACTTAGATTTCCATAAGTATTCCTTCATTATACTCTCAGATTCAGATCATTATACTCTCATTATACTCTCAAATTCAGGTTATTATTCTCTCATTATACTCTGAGACTCAGATCATTATACTCTCAGATTCACATCATTATACACTAAGATTATTATATTTACAGATTTTGGTAATTATACCTTTATTTTACTCTCAGATTTGCATGATTATACTCTGATTATACTCTCAGATTCACATCATTATACTCTCATTTCACTCTCATGCTTATATCATTACAGTATATAATCTGAACAAAAAATAGTGGCAAAATATCCAGACACTGAGTGAATTTATAGTAAGTCACAATTTTTCTGTACCTTTACTTGATTTAGCAGATGCTTTTATCCAAAGAGACACACATATTTGACTGAAAGCAGGGTCAGCCAGGCCCTGAAGCTAGTGAGGATTATGGGTTTTGCTCAAGGGCCCAATGCTGAAATTACTCTGCTGACAATGGGATTTAAACCAGCAACCTTCTGATCACAGGCACAGCAGCCACACGCCAGCTCCCAGGCATTCTGTCATTATTCCATAAGTTAATGAGAATGACGTTTCTTCACCATAACATGGATTTACTACACTGAACAAAACCATGAAAATGGTTTGATCAATGTAAATTTTTAAGAGGAGGCCCAGTTGCTAGATTTTTTTTTACAAATACGTATTTTCAGATTTTTTTCTAAAAAGACAGGTGGAGTAAACCTTAGTTTCATATATAGATAGATGCCCAAAAATACAATAAAATAGTTGATTGCAAAATTATTTCAGCGTCTAATTTTTCCTGTGTAGTGCTACAGATTGAAATAGAAACTAATTGGGATAACCGTGAAATCGTGGTTACTTCTTTTATAATTAACCGTGTCACCTAATTTCAACCGTTAGCATCCCTACCCACAGAACACACACAGGCTGCCAAAGGTTCCTGCCACATGCAGAGACTTAATGTGAGCCTGACTGTCCAGCTCTGTGGGTCACAGATGAGGTTAGACTCCCTGTGATCCTTCGCTGCTTGAAACACACACACAGGGCCCGCCCAACACTTTTATGGTCATAAGAAACATTTGAACTGGGGCCCCTTGACCTAACACACACACACACCACAGGCTGATCAGATGGGGCGCCCCCTGGTGGCTGCAGGGTTCTCTAATGCCTTGGGGTGGCCCTGCTCACACAGGCTTACACGCACCCAGGACGCAGCCCAAACTCACCAAGGCACACCTGGGTGTTGCAGGTCTTGCTCTGCCGCCTCACACCCTCGCAAGGTGGCGAGCGGCAGGTGCGTGATCGTGACTGCTCCCCACCCCCGCAGCTGACCGAGCACGCTGTCCAGGGCGACCAGTCGAACCCGGGGCCCGAGTCTGGCACACACAAACAAATGGCGGACACGGGTCATTAGGAATACTCCTATTCGTGCCAGCGGGGGGCGGTTGCTCTCCGCGCCTCGTACCTGTGCAGAGCTGGCTGTTGCAGTCCTTTCTTTGCTCCGCTACCCCTGCACAGCCCCTGCCCCCATTCTGAGGGGTGGGGTTATCACACTGCCGAAATCGCAGCTTGACTCCGCCCCCGCATGGAGCGGAACACTGCGTCCAAGCCCCCCATTGGCTCCAAGCCCCATCCACATGGCAACCAGGTAATGACTGACACTTCACAACACCGTCTTCACAGGTACTGGAAGAATCAGAAAGTTATTCATAAAAATGATTTTCATTTAATTCAAAGAAGAAGAATAAATAGACGTGATTAAATGCAGGAAACACTGCCGAATATAAAGTGGGGCTTTAAATGCAAATATTTCCCGGCGTGATAAAAATTAATTGAAAGTAAATGCCTTAAAAAGCTGTCCTAGATCAGATTTGTGTCTCTCATCTCGGGACATGCACCATAAAGCTGATTTATTTGCAACAGTGCCCATGTTGGGTAAATGAGATTCTGAAGTGCAGAAGATACTGTGGAGATGTACCAGTTTTTACAGGCACTGGTAATAGTCTCCCCCGAGTCCATGAAGTGCCAGGAGGAGATGCCGGGCCATGCCCATGAGGCGTTGGCTGAGTCCACCCCACCTGGGGGGGGATTGAAAGAGAAGAGAGAGTGTACCATTATAGATACTAGCAGAGCTGATAGTCTAGCTGCTAGGAATGGGCCTGTCACACAGCCCCAGTCATGTTTGAGCGGTTTGGAGGGAGAGTTGGGTCGCGAACCCCTCACCAGTGGTGCTGTTGGGGAACTTGCAGCGACACTCGTCCCGCCGCACACAGAGGCCGTCCTGCAGGAGCAGCTCGTCAGGGCAGCCGCAGGAGGGCTGACACCCCTGGACGTCGACGCACTCTGTGTCGCCGTGGAGATCAGAGCAAGAACGCGGGCAGGGCTTTCCACACGGCCATTCCTCCTGCCCCCCAGGGCAGTCTGTACAGGGGGGAGAAGCCATCAGAAATCAAAAAAGGGTATAATGACGGAGGGGGGGGATCTCAAACAAGGACCCTTGTGGTTGTGGGTTTGAGTCCCATCTGGGGGTTCATCTTGAGTGAGGCACGAGAGGAAATGTAGCTCAAATTCCATGGAGAATGCATTAATTGTAAGCCTTCCCTCAACTGTAAATCACTTTGAATAAAAGTGTCAGATCATGGAGTAAAACGAATGAATACACTGCCTTGGATGCACATATGACAAATTGTTCACTGTTTTCCATCAAAAACCTCTTAAATTAAGCTATTAAAGCTGGATCATTCACGTAAAGGTCTGGCTCACTCCAAGCACCACAGGTTCACAGTAGAGATAAGGGAAAGTGCATCCTATTTGGCAGAAAACAAACCCAACACCTTACTGCATTCATAAACACAGAACAGGACGGGCCCGTCGACAGAGGGGCTGGCTGACCCGAACAGATGGTGCCGTTGTCATGGCAGCCCCGGCTCTGACGTGTCTCCCCGGGGCAGGGCAGGCCACCAAAGCGGGCCGGGGGGCTGCTGCAGATACGGCTGCGCGTCGACACCCCCGCACACACGTCACACTGCGTCCAGGGGCTCCAGGACCCCCAAAAGCCGTTGACTGATGGGTGACAGCGTGGAGGTTCAGAGGACGAGAGCAGGGGGGAGAGAGAGCATTCAGAACAGGTAAGGCAACAAATGCCGGAACCGAAATGGCCAAATCATACACAAACCGTGCAAGATTTTATTTTTTATTTTTTTTTCAAAATAGGAATACCCATCATTAAAAAACAAAAAATGACAACAGTGGTTCTCAACTGCAGGACCCTCCTATTTTCTTGGTCATTAAGTCACAACTCAATTTTTTTTAAATTGTGCACCAAATTAATTCCCAAATAGTAATAGTAACAGTGAACAGATCATAGTGCAGTAACAGTAGCACAAAGCCTTCATTAGAGAGTTTTTTATAACCGCGCTACTTTTGGGTTGCAAACCTCTAGCTGTATTACAAAACACAGGCTTTCTCATGGGTGCCCAGACATCATTACCAGGACAGAAGGTGACGGAGGGACAGGGCTGCCTCTGGATCTGCACCCCCATCCCACCATGGGCTTCCTGCTCCCCAGGGCAGGCTGGCCCGCCCGCCTTGGGCTCAGGGCACCCACAGCTACGGTACCGGGACACCCACTCCGTCCCGCACGTCCGCGAGCATGGCGTCCAGCCGGACCACTCGCACCAGCCTCCTGCCACTGGGAGGAATGGGCGGGGGATTATTTATTACGTACGTATTTTGAGATTAATTCATTTCTGAATGGGGGGGGAGGTGAGAAGTGCCATAATTCATATAGAGAGGCCAACCTTATCATTAGCCAATGATATGTTTTGAATCGGTGATTGACAGGGGAGGGGGCACTCTGGGGGCCAATCAGCTTTCAGCTGGAGTCAGTGTCCCCATGGCCCCACCTCTGTACATGCCCCATCATTTGCTTTTGGGGACATGTCCCCTTGTCTTTTCAGCACATGCATACCACACCATGTATACAGTATGTACTTACCGGGACAGGGTTTGCGGGTGCAGGTGATCCTCCCACCCTCACAGGTACTGAAACATAGGAGGGCAAGCCGAGGTCACTTAGAAAAGCTGCCACAGGGTGGCGATGTAGTCAAGCTCCATCCTTGTCTCCCCAGTCCACCTCTGTTTCAGTGGCATGTGACGCTCACAATTCCCAGCCATCTATATACCTACATAACTGTTTATTTAGCAGGTGCTTTTTATTCAAAGCGGTACACATTTTTGAGAAAGCTGGGTCAGCCCTGGAGCAGTTAGGGGCTAAGGTCCTTGCTCATTGGCCCGATGGTGAAAGCACTCTGCCCACTATAGGATGGGAACCAACAACCTTCCAATCACAGGCACGCAGTGTACATAATAATAAAATTGAAAGCCCCTGTTATTCCAATAGGCTGCTTTAATTTATACTGACTGGCATGTCTGAGCTGGCTGTAGTGTATGATTATGTGTGTGAGAATGATGAACTGGCACCTGCTGAGGATATTGGGCTCTGTCCAGTCTGGGATAGGCTCCAGGCCCCCTTGCAACCTTGCTCAGGATAAATGGTTCATTGGAAGATGGATGGATGGTTGTTTTGATTTCTGTAAATTGTAACTATGCAATTTTTAAGCAGTGTTATTGGCACTGGAATTCAGCAGAGAAGATTTCAGTCACGTTCCATTGAAAACTTACAGGGGTGGTAGTAGATACCATCAGTACAGCGGTGTGGGGTGTTGGGGTAGGAAACTAGGGTTACAATACTGGTGTTGGATTTTCATGAGTGAGAAATGGAGTAGCTTTCCAAAGAACTCTGACAACCCATAGCCAAATGGCCAAATGAGCATTTTTGCGAACATGTAGGGATCCTTCTGGATTGCCCAAGTTCATTTCTGGGATGCAATTACAAGTCAAAGAGCACAGCTGCAAAGCTCAGGCAGATTTCCATGGTGTGCGGTTTGAAGCCACGAGGGCTGATACCCATTAGATCTTCCCCATTGGTACAACATCTTAACCACTTAGCCAAGGTGGCCAGACAGAAACAAGAACCAGACTGAATGAATTTATATTACTAATCATGAACACCACTGGCGAGTCAACGCACGCTATTGGAAAAGATGTAAGTATGAGGTCAGAATGTGGTGTTTCACAAATCACATATAAAGGGAGTGGGTTTCAAGCTCTCCTTCGACAGATGGGCAAGAGGACGAATATCCAAATGGAGGAAACTCCTTATCGACACCGCGGACATGTTTGGGGGCATGGCATGGAGGTGTAGTCACGTGACCACAGTCACATGACCATGGTGGGGGGTGGGGCCTGTGTATGAGACATGGGGGCCCTTACCAGTTGTTACAGCCATCGGGGGCTGGCACAGTTTCCCCCGGCACCAGTCGCTGACCAGTCGCCATGTCCAGACAGGGGCAGTCCTCAGTCTGAATGCAGGATGTCCCGTTCTGGCCCAGGACACGCGTCCCCGTGCAGTAGCAGCCCGGCTCACAGCGCCACTCGCAGTACTGAAACAGAACAGCGAGGCATTTTTTCAGGTTCCAGTCCGGAAACGCACAAACAATGGTTGGGCACTACGATACTCACAGCCAGGTCATCGCAAGACCGGGGACAGGAGGGGCCACAGCTGCTGAAAGCCGTCCCGGGGACCTCGGTGCAGGGGGCCACTTGGACATGATGTAGGGGACACAGATATGCATAAACGGCATGGGGTTACATGGCCCCCACTAACACACACAGTTCCTATCAATATATGGTATTCCTGCCTGCCTCAGTACCGGGGCAGTGATCGGTGTTACAGGATTGAATCTCGCTGCCCGGGCCTTCACAGAAGTCACCCTTCCCCTCGGGGGTGGGGCTGTCACATTCCCGTTGACGGGACTGCATACCCCCGCCACATGACTTGGTACATTCCGTCCAAGGGGTCCATTCACCCCAACCTCCATCACCTGCAGGATATCCAAGCATAATCACTTGCGGATGGTGATATTAAAATGGGGCAGGATATCTTTAAAGCTGTCTTTAAAAAACCCTGGAGACAGCTAGAGTAACACCCTCAGGGCCTGGGAAAACATACTCATTTTAATTTGGATTATCGCCCTGGCAATACAAGTGTACATATTTATATAATCGATCATTAGGAGACATCTTTCATGCAATGGCATCAGTTCAAATTTCTAGGCAGCCAAAAGTTTGTCTTTATCTGATTTAGGCCTTAGAGCCATCGTTTTCCCACAGTGCTGCATGAGGATGGCTATGGGTCAAGTTAATCCTGTAAGCAGTCGTGAGACAGACTTACGGTCACAGGTTGCTTGAACGCACAGCTGGTCCTGACGGTCAGGTCCGAGACAGGGCAGTCCCCGCCCGGACCGGGGAGGACTGGAGCAGAAGCGGTAGCGGGACTGCAGGCCCGGCCCACAGGGGGTGCTGCAATCACTCCAGGGTGTCCATGCGGACCACAGGCCGTCCACTGTGGGGCAGTGACCGGGGCGTCAGCTGAGGTGGGCGCATTGGTTAACAAGTACAACATGGGTCATGTGTGATCCGAAATACTCACCATCACAGTCGAGGTCAGTGCAGTTAGTCAGCACCCCCGACTCACAGGTGCTGTTGGGGACAGTCACAACAGACAGACAGACAGACAAACAGACAGACAGACAGACAGGCAGGCAGACAGACAGGCAGGCAGACAGGCAGGCAGAGAGAGAGGAAGACCGACGGTCACGACAGACAGGCAGGGAGACCAACAGATAGACAGACAGACAGACAGATACTTCATTAACCCCGGGAGGGAAATTTGGGAGATACATGACAGTACAGATCAAAAAGATAAAAAGACATTAACGTGACAGAGAAGGGCAGTAATTTAGTGATCACAAGATCTCCATACTTACCAAATAAGACAGCAAGACAAGCTAAGAATATATAATAGTTATGTCTGGAAGATATGTTCTAAAAGGTTCTCCAAATACACCAATAATCTGACGTTATGGAGATGCCTTCAGTGGGCCGTAAGAAATGAAAACAACTCCTTTCGCAGAGCATGAAAGGCAGGTATTCAGGATGGAATTTGGTGGATTCAAATGTGGGTGGTGGGTGGTCCGATTGGGTGGGGGGTGTCCCTTACCAGTTCCGGCAGCCCTGGGTGATGGTGTCTCCTGGCTCAAACTGCTCACTGTCCACATAGCAGCGGCACTGAGGTGCGGAGACACAGTTTCCGTCCTGCTGAAACCAGCACATTGTAAGAATAAGGCCACTTTTAGGCTGTATTTAGCATTTTAAAGTATCATAGGCTACAGGGGAGGTTCCCCGCCCCTCCAAGGAGCTTCACACTCCCCCACACATCTTCTTGTGTGTTTCTCACACCTCGGCCCCAAGCAGAGACAGACACGGGGTCTGAAGAGTGTGCCAACACCGCTGAGCGGAGTGAGGAACTGACCTGGAGGAGCAGGCCGGACCGGCACTGACAGCCTGAGGTGCAGCTGCTGTTGTCGAATTCAGTACTGAGGTCAGAACAGGAAGCAGGATGCCGGACACAGGCCACCAATTCCTGCTCCCCAGGGCAGCCAGACTCATTACCTGGGAGGAGGGGAAAGTTCTAGCACTTTGTTGTGAATGCGCGGGATGGCATGTGACAGGAGAGTGAGCGCCCCCTGATGTTTGCCACTGGTATGGTTGGCCAGCGAAACCGTGCCCAGGAAGCCTGTCCACATCCCTCTAGCTTTTCATAATTGTCCCCGGAAAGCTCACTGTCAAGGATATGAAGGACTACCCCACCCCCCCACCCAGCTCACCGCATGGGTGCACATTGCAGGCGCTGAACTGCTGCATCATGCCATGGGTTCTGGACGGCCCACGAGTCCGGTTCCTGTAGCCCCCACCACAGGGCACAGAACACTCGGACCACGCTCCCCAAGGCTGCCGGGCTCCTGTGGGGTGCAAACATACACAAACATGTCACACAACACACATGGAAACACGTCACACAACACACATGGAAGCATGTCACATACACACGTATAAACACATCACATACACACGGAAATATGTCTCACATACAAGGTCAAACGTCACACAGAAAGAAACACACACACACATGAAAACACGAAAAAACAACGAAAAAACGAAAAAAACATCTCACACACATGAAAACACGGCAAACACACAGAAACATTTCACACACAAAATCATGTCATACATGTAAATGCATCAAACACACCCACATGGAAACGGATGACACGCACACATGGAAACACGTCACAAACACAGAACAAGTCACACAAATGGAAACACATTACATGCAAGGAAACACAAAAACAAGTCACACACAGAAATATGTTACACACAAACATGGAAACATGTCACACATACAGAAACACATAACACACACGGAAAACATGCCACACAGACAGAAACACTTCAGAGACAACACACATCCAATCCGTCTTTCTGAATATACAGAATACCAAAAGAACAACACATTTCAAAGCAAAGACCACAGGCAGGCAAAGCTAAAACACAGGGGGAAAATGAACATGTGACTTGTTTTCCTGAAGCTATTCCAATAACCTTGAGCCCTGGACTTGTGGGTAATGATATCTGAGCCACTTGGACCTGAGCCTTTATCCTCTTTTGTGGGAGCTGAGCACAAATATGCAGACATTCTGCCATCTCAGTTTTCAGTTTATAACTGTCGATCTTCAGGGTTGCTGTGAGCCTGAAACCCAATCAGCACAGATACGAAGTGAGGCAGCCCACACAGCCCATAAGCTCCATGGCCGTCAGCATTCATCTGCAAGGTTAATTAAGCTACCTTGCTGAGTCTCAGATGCTAAAAGGACTGGCTCTCCTTGCACTTTCAGGCGACGGACTCTGTTATTTTACAGCTGAGTGTAGCTATAATCCTTAAAATTCAAGAATAACTTAAAGAAGAATCAGCTATGTTGTGTAATTCGTATGACACTGTGAGGTAATAGGTAAACTTGGTAAGCGAGGTTGGAAGAAAGGGCTGCAAACTGGCCTGGTTTTCTTCCAGGACATTCTAAATAAATGGAGAGGAGCGGCGAGAATCTCCTCTGCTGGCTTCTCGGCCAGCTCTTACTCCTCGCCTCACTCCCCCTCCTCTTCCTCACCCTGACAAGGCTCCAGGCTACAGGTGTCCATCTCCACCCGGCCGCCCTTGCAGGGGCGCCCCCCGAAGCCTGGAGCAGGACTGCTGGGTGACCTGTAGCGCCTCCTCACGCCCACATCGCAGGTCCGGCTGCACGCGCTCCACGGTGTCCAGGCGCTCCAGCCACAGTGCACTGCCATACAGAAGTGCACAGTGACACACCATACAGAAGTGCACAGTGACACACCATACACAGCGACACACCATACAGAAGTGCACAGTGACACACCATACAGAAGTGCACAGTGACACACCATACAAATCATACTACACTGACATCATTCTTCATTTTAACCACCATGTGATTTTTTTTTCTTATTCATAAAAACTTCACACAAATGGAGTTAAGGAACAATACAAATATCACATAAAATACAGTCCAGGTTTCCATGGCGATTTGCACAGAAGGCCATTTAAAATGTCTCTTACAGACACAGGCTTATTCATTAAGCCTAAAGTATTATTGCAGCAACAATGCCTAGACTTCTATCTTACGGTTTTGATAAATGTGGATTCTCTTACCAGGGCAGGGTGCTGTCCCACAATCCATCTCTCCGTTAATGCAGGTGCTGTAAGAGGCAGGGATATAGGCAGTGAGCTGGACTACTGAGCTCATTAACAAAACCACTGATTAATACCTGAGATTCCCTGCTTACAAACCCATCTCTGAGCATATAAGGGGGAAAATTCTCCTCATTTGAAGTAGAAATAGGCCTTAGTTCTTTTGTCAAAATGGTGAGGAGGTACAAGATGAAGGCCGTCACTCGTCTCTGAGTAATACCAGTTGTTGCAGGCATCCAGTGACATGCTGGCGCCTGGGGAGTAGAGCGCCCCCTGGTGGTAGCAGGGGCACGCCGACAGGGGCACGCAGGAGCCGTTGAGAAGGTAGAGGCTAGGGGCGCAGTAGCAGCCGTCGTAGCAGTCGGTGGCACACGCAGCGGAGGGCGTCAGGTCCAGGCACACGCGGGGACAGGCCCCACCCTGCGCCCGGCATTGGTCAACGCTCAGGTAGCTCATGCCCTCAGGACACGCCCCTAAAAAAGAGCAGCATGTAAAATAGACCTGTATTAACGGGCATCGTGTACGGGTGAGCAGCACTGTTGGATACGGGCTGGGGGGGGGGAACCTGAGCAGGGCTGAGTGTTGCAGTCCCGTGTCTGGATTTGCGGCCCGGGGCAGCCGTCGCCCCCGTACTGGGGAGGGGGAGAGTCACACAGACGCTGCCTGGTCTGAGAGCCGGAGTCACACTCCGACGAGCAGGAGGACCACGGGGACCAGGGCGACCAGGCACCAGCGACTGAGGAAGAGGACACAGGTGATGAAGAGGGGGTGGGAACAGAGGCAGCTACTCCAGATGACACACAGGATCGACACGTCACAGCAGTTCAGAGCTTTAATGCATCTACCTCAGGGGTGTCAAACTCCAGTCCTGGGGGGCCGGAGCCCTGTGTAGCTTAGTTCTTTCCCTGTTCCACCACAAATGATTCAGCTCAAGAGCTGTGTGATAATTAGCACAAGGAGTTGAATCAGGTGTGTTAAATGAGGGTGAACCAAAAACTGTGCAGGGCTCCAGCCCCCCAGGACAGGAGTTTGACACCCCTGATCTATCTGATCCATTTACTGTATACAAAGTGACTTGCCTTACAGAAAACAGCTACAATTAATGTGAGCCCTCTGGGGTTCAAGCCCCCAACCTCAATGTCATCACTGGAAAGCTTTACATGGTGACCTATATCAGCAACACAAATTTCACACTCTAAAGCAGGCCTATTCGACTAGCGGCCTGCAGGCCGGATACGGCCCTTTTGAAATTTTTTATGGCCCGCAAGACTGCCAGTAAATCACAATGTGTGGTATAATAAAATTTTGGTATACCGGTAGCTCTGATCTACTTCAACAACGCTTCCAATCCATCACGTTATACTACCGGACAGGCATGCGCTGTGATTGGTTGCTACACTCGCTCTGCACTCAGCTCGCGGGTGAGAGGTGAAGAGGTCAGAGTCAGCTAAACTAACGCCGCTTTACAACATGTCGCTCTCAAAAAAACAAAAATTGATTCGGAAAACTGCCAGTTCCAGAGCAAATGGATGGACAAATATTTATTTGTTTTGCCTGCCGCGACAAGTAATAAACTGGTCTGTTTACTGTGCAACGAATGCATATCTGTCATGAAAGAATACAACGTGAAGAGGCACTACAAGTCAAATCACGGCTCGTTTTCTGCCAGTTTTCCAGAGGGCTCTGAGGAACGGAGACACAAAGTACAGCGTCTGCTAGCGTCTTTTCAACAGTGTCACTTTTGCACGGAAATGTTGTTGGTCTGATGACTTTGTTTTGTTCATCTTGAATGGAACAAAATATAAATATGGACCTTGGTTAAAAAGCTCCTTATGTGAAAGTATTAAAGTTAAAGAAAATGGATGTGTCATTCATTCATACTAATATAATATCTATTATCATCAAGAGTAATTTTTTCGCAATTAGTTGACAAATATTCTGTGTGGCCCACGAACCCCCAGTGATTTTCATATTCGGCCCACTTGCTATTGAAGTTGAATAGCCCTGATCTAAAGTCTTTGTCAGCTATTTCAGCAATTTCTATATTTACATATATTGTGCATATATATATATATATATATATATATATTATATTTACATAAATATTTTCTTTTTCAGGCATTTCTTCAGTTTATTTAATATTTCTTCCTCAAATAAGTACCTCTGCAACTGCTAGTATGTCTACTTTGATGCTCTGCGATGCCCTTTGTCACGTCTTGTGCTATCTAATCCTGTTATTTGTTACATGTTATTGATTGGGTGGCACCAGTGAGAATTCCTATATACTGAAAAACAAAAGGGCAAATGAACCTTAAATCTTCCAGAGAGCTAATTCTCATCACTGAAAATGTCTATTTTAATACCAATAAATATTTGGTGCCCATGTGACATGTGTGGGAATTCCAGTGTTGCCAGGGGCAACAGTCTTGGACAGGAAGAGTCCTGGTGCGTTTCGGGCCCGGGCTGCCGTACCGGGACACAGAACTGTGTTGCAGGGCTCCTGTTCCTCAGTGTCGCCGTCGCAGGAGCCCCCGTCTGTGCCGTTGCAGCTGCGGAATCGCCTCCTGAGGCCCACGTCGTCCACATGCAGGAAGCACGTCTTACTGCACTGCGACCAGGCCGTCCACTCGCCCCAGTGCTGCTGGTCACCTGCAAGCACAACCATGCCAAAAGTGATGGGGACATTGTGTCGGTCATTCCCATTACATCAGTTTATGATGCTGTAATCTAGAGCGGCCACAGTCGCAACCTTTTTCAGGTGCTCTAAGTAAAATTTGATCAACCTAGTTGTGATTTTTCATCTTCCTTCCCATTCTGGGAGGCTGATTTAATGGTGTGCCCCCTGGTGGCCACTGGAGTCAACACAACTGCTTAGTTCGCTCATGCTTTGGGCCGGACTGGCTTCAAATAGACATTTTAGTGAGAAAAGTCTCAGGTCAGGCAGAATCCAGCACCCCTGGAGCAGTTGGGATTATGAGTCTAAGGGTGATAAGATTATTCTACTGACCACTGAATTCAAACCCACGGCTTCCTGAGCACTGATGCCGGTTTCAGGTTATTGGGGGAAAGAAGGTAGGGGAGTACCTGGGGGGCAGGGCACAAAGCACTGACGGGCGTCTGAGGTGTCCCCGGGGCAGGAGGGACTCTCCGTCCCATTGGATGGGATCAGGGGCGACCTGCAAGAGAAGGCGGAGCCATTCAGGGAGCAATAGTCACCGACGTGAAGGTGTTACCGCGGTCATCCAGGAAATAGTGCTACCTGTACCGCTGCTGCACACCAACTCCACAGGGGGCGCTGTCACATGGGGCCCATGTAGACCAGGCCGACCAATAGCAGCCCGCCTCACAGGGGCTGCTGCTGCAGAAGACCTGTCCGTCCTGGCAGAGACTGAGAAACACAGATATAGGGGTGCATCACCTCCAAAAGCGACGTGGCTGTTTTAAGAGGCAAAAGCACACGTCAGTGTATGACCAATGAGGGGGGGGTGTGCCCCTACCACGTGCTGCAGTTCCCTTTCAGGACATTCTCCCCGGGCTGAAGAACCCGTCCATCCCAGTGGCAAAGACACTGACTGGCCTTGACACAGCGGCCATCTTGTGCGTACTGACCAGCTGGACAGCGGCATCCTGCGAGAAAAAGAAAAATAAACACAGATTTTCCATTTAGAAGCAGCTTTAATTCACTGCCTAGGCTGCATTTGTGTTTTATTTGGAAGCATTTATCCTTAACGTGTTTACAAAGGTAGGTCCAGGTAGGTATGTCATACAATTCATTGGAATTTGATAAAGAATTTTTGTCCCTGTATGGCAAAAGAACTGGAGCCTGGACGGGTCTGGTGCCACCCTTCCAACAGGTAATGGACTGAAAGGGAAACCAGAAAAGCCATCGGAGGGGTTACTCGGGGTCATGCAGTGAGCCCCATAGCAGCCTGGCCACCAGGGGGTGCCCATGCAGACAGGTTTGAAATCACACTGCTTACGACTTATTACAGTGTCAGATAAATCACACTGCTGTCATCTCCCCTGGTAAACAAAGAAAATACCACAGAGTTAACAGAAGGAGATAATTCATCTTCCAGAAGCTCTCGGGGTCATGGGGGATTGTCTGGGACCCATGCCAGGGAGTACAAAGACATGTGGAACATGATGCCAGTCAATCACAGGGCATATAGTCACAATGGGCACTTCAGGGGCACTAATTCACCTAAATGAAGGTCCTTGGACTGCTGGAGGACACAGAGGAATGGATGCAGAGAAATCCCACATAGCGTGGGGAGAACGTACAAGAGGAGCGGAGGCTCTGGCCCACAGGCAGAAATAAATGTCGTGGGGCGTCCACCGAATCCGTTATTTAACGATGGGGCTCAAGCCACCACCTTGGAAGTGAGCTGCATTAGTGCACAGCGCCACCGCAGCATCAGAAGGTGACAGTGATACACAGCGATGACCCAGAGACCCCGGGCCGCAGCTATAAAGGTGCATACGCTACCAGTCAAAAGCATTTACACACACTGCGATTTTCTATTTGCATGTTACTCATTTAGCATTTACTAAAAACATACTCAATTTTCTTTGCTAACAAATAAATTTACAGTATGATCACCATTTGAGTACCTTTATTAGCAGGAAAATGTCATATCTTTGATTCATCAAAGTAACCTCCTCTATCAGTTATAACAGCAAAGCAAATTCGAGGCATTTCTACAAGGGACATTAAATACTGCTCTGTTATATGGGATGAAAGCGTTAAGTAGTGCATTTAAAGTTAAAGGACAGCTTAGAATTTGACGATGCCATCAGCACACAATTAGTTAATAGGATGTCAGACACGTACTGTTACTGTACATACTCTGTCTATATTATGAAAGAAAGTTTTATTTTACTTATATTTTCATTTATAGTTGTTCACTCAACTTTTCAATGTTTAGCAAGAATAAAATATCTACAGTTTATGAAATAAATGGAAAAGTGGTAAAAACCTGTGGTGTGTAAAAACCTTTGACTGGTAGTGTAGATAGACTGTGGCTTAGACTCACAGGGACTCGTCTCACCTGGGATGCACTGCGAGGGGCAGTCGCTCGGAGAGGAAAGTTCCAGGCACGTACGCAGACACCCTGTGGCCCTTCCAGCCCGGCAGTCCCCCTCTGTCACCAGCACCATCCCGCTGCTGCAGCCTGGCACCCAAAAGACACATAAAACCTGTGCTAAGCTATGGTTTGCTGTGCTGTGTTAGGGCTCAGAGGAGGCTCTTACACTGTAATGAGCTGTGTTGTGTTAAGGCTCACGGGAGCTGTTATGCAGTGATGTGTTGTGCTGTCCTGAGCTGTGATAAAGCTCTCAACTGTGCTGAGCCATGCTGTGCTGAGCTATGCTAAGCTGTTTTAGAGCTTTCAGGAGCCTACTGTATGTTATCTGACCAGTATTGTGTTAAGGCTTGCAGGAGCTGTAATGCCGTGACGTGCTGAGCTGTGTTGTGTTGCATTAGGGCTCTTGGGAGCTATTTTGCTGCTGTGCTGAGCTGTGCTGTGCTGTGATGTTCTGGGCCATGATTTTCTGTTGTTTCCTGGACCATGGAGCACAGCACCGTGCGCGAACCCGACCTGTCTGCAAGTCCACGTTGGAGCCACAGGGCTGCCCATTGCAGCTGTGCGTCTGCACTGTCAGGCCCTGACAGTCACGGCCGCCATTCTTAGGGGGTGGGTCAGAACAGCTGCGGTTCCTTGTCCGCAGGCCTCCACCACAGGGGGCATTACACTGTGACCAGCTGCTCCACTCCGCCCACTGACCGTCCACTGGGAGGGGGTGGGGGGAGACAGGGCCAGGGTAGTGTGAGGATTGGGAACATCATTCCTTCCAGACTCACGTCTGCTTTGTTAACTAGAAAACTAACAGTTACGGTAATCCATCCATCCATGACTCGTTATCCGGATCAGGGTCACGGTGATCCTAGAACCCATCCCAACAAGCAGGAGCAATTCTAGGATTTTTTTAAGGTGGTGGCGCATAAAAGGAGCCATAATTCATAGAGAGTGGCCAGCCTTATCAGCAGCCAATGAAATGTTTTGAATTGATGACTGACAGGAGAGAGTGTACTCGGAAGGCCAATCAGCTTTCAGCTGAGGCCAGTGCTGCTGTGGCCCAACCCTCATATATGACCAAGGTAACAGGTTAGGTCAATGTCTTAGAAGGGGACTGAAAACCCCCAGCTTTCCTGCAGTTAGTTCACTGCTTGTGGGAATGACCTGTGCTGCAATACACCGGCAATAACAAAGAGATGTGTAGGGGAATTACAGGAAAGGGAAGACTCCAGGGCAGGGGAGGGCACTGTTATCTGCAAAGGGCCAGTGAGTATGTCCAAAGGGCCAGTGAGTATCCTGGTTATTGGGATAACCTTTAGCTCAGCTGATCTAACCCAGGTGTGAGAATTCTTCAACCAATCAGTTCTCTCAATTAGGAAGTTACAGCGAAAACACACATATACAACAGCCCTTTCAGCATAAGATTGACCACCCCTGCTCCAATCAGCTTTCAACTGGGGTCAGTGCCTCAGTAGCTCCGCCTCTGAATACTCCTGTGACAGGAAGCACATGGCATAAGGGACAGGGGCACAAATCTCATGCTATGGGCAACACAGGCTCACCAATTCCCACAACTGCATGTATTTAGATAACAATGAAAATTACAAAACCAAAATTAACATAGAAACAACCGAAGTATGAAAGTGAGTTAAGACAGGCACGGCTGACACCTTTTCAAGGCATTTATGCTTGCAAGCTAACCAGAAGGAATTGGGATCACATCCCTCTGCAGCCGTGCCACATTCACTAACCAGGGCAGGCGCGATTGAAACACGCCCGGCTGTCGAAAAGTGCTCCCCCGCACTCCCCGCCGGGCCGGGCCTGACGCAGGATCTCCCGCTGCCGAAAGAGGGACCCCAGCCCACAGGAGGCACTGCACTGGCTCCACTGCGTCCAGGGGGACAGGATGCAGTCCACTGGGGGGGGGGGGAGGTGGCAGACAAGACAGATGTAGGCCATGTCAGTCACAGACTTCATCATCTTCCTCATGGCCACCTGGTCAAAAACAAAGCCATAACCCCCCCCACGTGAAACCAGAGGCTTGTTTTGTGAGAAGCGTCCAGACCCGTCATACCACAGCTCCTCTCGTCTGAGCCATCGAGACAGTCCACCCTCAGGTCACACCGCCGGTCCAGGTGAATGCACTCCCCACTGCCGCAGGAGAACTGTTTCGGAGAGCAAGGACTCGGCACTAGGGGGCGCCCTGTTGTCACCACAAGTCCAGGAGTCGGGGATGGACCACCTAGGGCAGGAGCAGAGGGATCCAGCACACGTTTTCAGACTGATGGGCAAAGATCCTAAATCCTGGGTTACACCTGCACGGTTCTTCTTAAATGTGGACCTCCAGCATTCCTCCTTCACTGCTTTCACTTTCCCGTCCACGCCGTCCACAGTAACATTTACCACACTGGTCTTCGTCGGAGCCGTCGGGGCAGTTATCCCGGCCGTCGCAGATGAGCGCGGCGTCCACACAACCGAAAGCACGGCAGGCAAACTGGCCTTCGGTGCACAGGACTCTGGGAAGCCCTTCGTCTGGAGTCACAGTCAAGTCCACGAATCACAGTTAGAGATTAGAGGAAGGAAGCATTAACATTCCAGGGAGAGACAAACAAACGATTAAATGATAATAAACCTGAAGGGGGAGCAGGGGGGCCAGGGGTTCCGGAGGGAGGCGAGAGACTCTCCGCCGGCGGCGGCGTGGAGATACGGCCCAGATCTGGCCCTCCTGTGGGACTGGACCGGTTCCAGACACCTGGCGCTCCCGTAGTACCTGGGAAATTAGGTACAGCACCCCCGTGTTATTCTAACATGTCAGAATCAGAACCAGATAACATAATATAATGATGAGAAACTCAAAATATTATGGGAGTCCCTTGTGCCTTAAATTTTTATTATGTTTATTCATTCTGTGCTATTATTACATTTATTTTATATATCCAAGTAATTCAACATTAAGAAAAAGTTTTATGACACTGATGCTATAAAAATTTTATCACGTAATATTCTTGGAAATCTGGGAAGGGAATAAAAAAACTTAAATATGATTTTGCCAAAGATTTAGTGAAGCGCTGTTATATGTGCTGTATTTTCAGAGAAAAGGTGGTTGAAGTAAACTGAATCTATATATAGTATACAAACTAAGTGGCCATATTATTAGGTACCCCTGTCTAGTTCCTGGGTGGAGTGTGTTTTGTCAGCGATGTCTTCCTTACAGCATTCGACCCATGACATTCCACACTATATTACATTGATGTTCTTGGAAAAGCATCACCGCACTGAAGATACCAGCGCCATTCCGGTACTTTTGTCAAGATCAGCTTGAAATCTTTGAGTGATCGATTCAACGTGGTTCTAGACATTTCCCTTATGGAGTTTGGCCCCATGACATTTTTTCATCAGCCTTCCTGTTGGCTTTAACCAGTCTCACCTCTCTCACCACTAACAAGGTATGTATTCCCACAGAACTACCACTGACCTAATCTTTTTTATGCATAACACATAATCATCTGTAACCCCCGTGTGGAACATTCTGTCAGGGGGCCTCTATGTTTTCTAGCAACTCCCCTAGCCGGTTTCCACAAGTTTAGGGATCGACTCACCACAGTTGAGTTCGTCTGAACGATCCCGGCAGTCCGGCCGTCCATCACAGAGCGCGGCCAGTGGAACACAGCCTCCGCTGCCACAGGGAAACTCCCCCCCCGTGCACAGCCCCTTTATAACAGCGCCTCCCCCTGGAGTAACCAGCTCAACTGCGGAAATACGGAGTGAGACACAATGATCAGAAGAAAGTCAGATGGTCCAGGAAAATGAAATTCCATGTTCCTGAAGGACGAATTCGCTCATTTTCATTACTTTGATACTTTTAAGTTACTGAGGGTCTAAATACAGAAAATTCCAGAAGCAGTAGACGTACATTCTCATCAAACACACATGAAAAAACACAAGATACAAGCTCCTTATTCACTCCCACACGGAGAGTTCAGATACGTACGATCTCTGCAGCCCAGGATCTCGGCCCGCAGGTAGAAGGTGTGGCGGAATTCCACGGGGATGATGCGGAGGTAGCGGGCCTGGATCAGCTGGGTCAGCCAGCGAGTCACCGGCCTCCTGCCCACCATGCGGACCTCGAACACCTGCCGAGGCCCGAGGCACAACCCACACCCGGATGACTGACAGCATCAGAGGCAGGCGCAAGCCCCCTGCTCAGCCAATCAGCTATGACTATGATTATCAGATATGACACTGGTACGGCACACAAATCACACCGCTCTGCTAAAAACATTAAGCTGTACAAACGAAGAAAAAAGAAGAATATACATTAAAATACATTATGGAATACATTTGTCCATACAGGGGCACTGCTAGAGATTGTGGGCCCCCAAAAAAGCGAATCATATATCGCCCGCAACCCAAACTAATCCAATTATGTTCCAAATTATTTAGAGCCCTTGCCACTCAAGGGTCTTTATAATCCTCCAACCTTAGCCCCCTTTACAGCACCCCCGCAGAAAACCTTAATAATAATTTCGATCCATTCACCCTCTTACACAATTGTTCATCCAAGGCAGGGTTACACTATTCCAGAAGCCTATCCCAGGGGGCAGGAGGCACACTGGGTGTGGTGGGCTGGTTTCCAGTAATGGTGCCATGCATGTTACCTTGATTTGAGGGCCCTTCTCTGTGTTTTCCTTGTAGTCGGTGAAGTGGCTGCCATCCAGGCTGAATGCCAGGCGGTATTTGCTGAGGTAGCCCCCCGTCCCGAGCTCGCTGCCCTGCGTCACCACCCCTGACACCCAGGCAGGCTCCAGGAAGTCCACCTGCAGGTATGGCTGGGGGTCGTCTGGTCGGGGGCTCCACCCAGGCTCCATGATGAGACTGCGATGCCATCATATGGAGAGGCAATGAACCAATCCAGACTGCATGTGGCCTGTTCATCAACCAATTGCTGGTTGGTGTATGTGGCTAATCAACCAATCGGTGGTCAAGTGACCAAAATGACATTTAATTTCACATATTTATGTTGGGTATGGGTTTTGGTCACGGACATTACTGCCTAATTTGGTTGAAATGCTGCTGGAGGGTTACCACGCTACAATCCATTGAATGTTTGGATGTAAAGGTTATTTTTTGTTGATTGCTCAGCACTTTGCTCAGCGTCTCGCAGTCCTACACAGTCAAATTTCATAGGTGATTTTTGCCCTCACACCTGGCAACCATGGGACGGACACTCACACGTTGGGCACGACGTTGAGTCGGCCGGCGTCCGCGGGGTTGTCCTCCCAGTGGGTAGAGGAGGTCAGCTGGCCGTATCTGATGCGGCCATCCTCCATGCCCAGGGGCGAGGAGCACGGCCCTAGGAAAGATGAGCTATGAAGTGTGTGTACGCCTTGGAACATGATGGCATTCTGCACAGTGCCCCAGGTGACTGAGGATTAAACGTGCAGCACTTGATAAAAAAAAATCCCATAATGCACTACGGAAATCTAAATCACAGACTCTATGGAGAATGCCTGTCATGTAAGACTTCAGTATTAATTAAATTTTGCAACAGGAAGAGGTTTGACTATACTGTAGTTACCTCTGTATGTTGGGCCTTCTATTCCCTGGAGAAAACAGAAAACAAATGAAAATAATGATATATAAATAAATACTATGATGCAAAAAATGGTGTTAACTGTTGTGGAGAATGATCCAGTGTAAGAGTGAGAGAAGCTCTTACGGGTGTCGGCAGAGTGACGGAGGCCATTTGAGGTGTCCTGAGAGAGGAGGGGGTGGATGTGATGTAGGTATCACTTCCATTACTCAGGGGTCTATGAGGGGAGACAAGCAAGCTGTGATCAGCTGATCACATGCTCGGGGGCAGCTGCAGTAGTTCAAGTCGAATTGCACTTCAGCAAACTGCAAAAAGCCTTGCTACGTTTTTTTTTAGGATATTATGCAAGAAGGAGGATATTGTTTTCAGTGAAAATGAGGCATGTTTTTTTTGTTTCATTGCAAATGAATACCTCTCCACTCCTGGGCCTGGGGTGGTCATCTTGTCTTGAGGGAAGCATCCCCATTCATCAGCTGCATCCGGACAATCAGGAACTCCGTTGCAGAGTTGAGCCACCCCAACACAAGGTCCTAGTGTCGGGCAAGAGAACTGTCCATCTGGGCAAGGCCGGGGGCTTGGTGATGTCAGAGGGGGCTGGAACTCTGCCGGAGGTTCAGGGTGTTTTAATCCATGATGAGCCATGAGCAGCATTTTCCAGGAGTACAGGAGGCACAGACAATGGTGACATTATTTTAACAGTAAATGTGATCACACATACTAGAACAGGGGCATGCAGTTATTTTTCCTGGAGGTCAGTGCCACAAAGCCAAAGTCCACCGGCCCCGATAAAATTTTCCAGGGAGGGGTGACTCAATCATGCAGTCTGGATTAAATTTTTTGGTCCAGATGTGAACCACAGTCTGCCAATTGAGTACCCCTGTACTAGAACATTCCACACCATTTTACACTTTCTTGGAAAAGCATTGCTGTAATGGAGACACCGGCACCAATCTGAATTGTTTTGCAACGTTCCACCCATTTGCACCATTTCACTAAGATGAAATTTCCTGCAGCACTGTATGGGGATGGAAAATGCATGTCATGGGACTGAAAACCGGGAACTAGACAGGACGTGGATGCAAAGAGAGGCACCAAAACCAGGCGATGTGGCACGCGACCCCACCGTTGTTGACCCGGGTGTAGGTAGTCACTGTTCCCACAGTGGAACTCCCTGACCAGAAAGAAATAAACTAGAAGAGAAGGAGCAGAGATAGCGGCGATAGCAGGGA